TTCAGCACAGTCCAGAAAACTCAATCCCATGAAAAAACAACGATCCTCTTTTTCTCAAAAGAGATCGCGATCCCATGGAAACAAATTGACAGTGTAACGGGACCATTGAATGTCACGTGGCATCGTAACGTACCCTTTCAGGGGCCAAAATGGCCATACGGGTGACCATCCATCCACCTTGACTCGTGCCAAGAGCAAAAGCCTTTTGAACGTTGAGCTTGTCCATGACCTGCAGGGCCATGATGGCAGTGTCCCAGTAGGTGAAGTGCTCTACGGGACAGCTGGTGGAGCCGTGGCCGAGCGGCTCGATGGCCAGCAGGTTGACAGCGTCCGTCAGTGTCTTGCTGTTGAACTGGTCATTGTAGAGGGAGACGGTTGTGCACATGGAGTTGATGAGGACGACGGTGGGCTTGGCGGGGTCGACCTTGTCCTCGGACAGACGGTAGCCGGCCGTGATGCCGCCGAGGTGGGGGACTTGGATGGTGGTTGTGGCTGCCATGATGTGATTTGTGTGTGTAGGTAGTTCGTTTGGGCCCTGTTGCTCTGCTGTCTGCGAGTGTATAACAACCTGCTTTGAGTTTGGTTCGGTTCCTAGAGGTCAGAGAAAGGTGGCTTGGACAAAAGTTAGGTTTAGTAGTAGGTTTGAAAGAGATGCAGATTTCTACATGTACTAAGCAACTCCTGAGGGGTTCTGGAGATCCTACCCCTCGTGGCGCCAGTTGCGGGTTGCATTGGGTAAACTTCAGAGGCGGCGGTGTATCTCAAACGGCCGACTCCGCCGAGAAGCCTCGGGAGCCCAATTGAACGTAACATCTGTCGCAGTAGACCACGGACTGGTTTTCCCAAACGAGTCGCCTCACGGTGAGGCCTGTCCCTGTTTCGGTGAGGTGGAGATGGCAGAAAAAACGGTTGTGGACGACTCCAGTTTGAACAAGTCACCAAGTCTTCATTATTCGCCAGTCCTGGTCCCTTGGAGGGGACACTCAACGGTATCCGACAACATCCTTCTTTCGACAAGTGGAACAGACTCCAGAGAGGAGCTTGTTGTAATCAGCGACCACGCGTTGGGCTTGGATGTTTCCCAGGAATATCCTTTCGTCACTCGTGCTATCGCCGAAGCACAGACATCGGTAACAGGGACGGGACATGACTCGGGGTCTGCTTTTTGAGGGGCGAAATGAACAGCCAGCTTTAGTCTGGCGGTGGCCATGTCCTCCCCAGCTAGCGTCTTCGCTGGCGCTATGGTGACGGACGACCGAAGAACCCGAGAACGACTCTACCTGAGGTGCCATTCTTGCTCGGTCATTTTACCGCTAGAAAGGGGGTTCACTCATCGGCAGCGGGGCCGGCTGTGAATGGCGTTGCGGTCATGGTGGTGAGAGGTTCATCTCATACCATTTTCGGGTTCGTGGCGTCAGGGTTGATAAAGGCGCCGTCGTTTTGGAAGAGACAGGACCGTTGAAAGTCAAAAGTCAATTCCCTTTCCCGCCCGTCTAAGAGAAACGAACTGTCGGGAGGGACGGGTACATCCTTCCTCTAGTGTTCCTTCTACCAGTTCGGTATTTCATAGACATAAGGCGGGTGGGAGGCCGAAAATGTCTGTGAGCAAAGTGGACGGGGACGGGTTGGCCAGGCTTTAAACGCACAACATGTCTGGCTCTGATGCGATGAATTCGGGAATTCTTCAGGGGAATTCTTCAAGCGGCCGGGGCCGATCGTTTGACGCGAGGCATTCCTTCGATCCCCTTCTGCCGCCCCCAATCCCACACGCCATGCATTTCATCTGCGACGCATGCGGCTGCCGAGGCTTCGACTAGGGGGGGAAGCGAGCCCTTGTTGGAAAGTCTGATGTTCCTGGCTCTCTCGCAAAAGCTCCAAGCTTCAAGGCAAAGCCGGCCAAAGCCCGGATGCGGAATTCAATGTGTAAGAACAACCACATAATTAAAGGCCTAGCCGTCATAAAATCTCCCGACAACGAGAGCCCCGGGCCGACCAGGGGAATCCAACTCTGGGCAATGGGCAGCGCCAGCAAAAACGTCTTAGTGGCCCTTGGAGACTTGAAGAGCCGAAGGGAAGGGTGCTAGCCGATGCCTATTCGAGGCACCTCTAAGTCGGATCCCAGCACCGGGCGAAGCAATCCGGGATGATCCCCATCCAGCCATGTCACTTTGCCCCAGGGCATCGCATAATTCAGTGGAGAACAACGCCGAAATTCTGAACGTCGTTCGACCTGCAGAGGCCTGTCATCCTTTGGCCGCTAGCAACCTTGGTCCACAAAGCGTGGAAAAACACTCACTTATTGTGGACTTTCTATGTCTTTCTCGCTTGGGGAACGAGGCGATCAACATTGCGGCGAGCAATGGCAGCAACTGAAGTACGAAATAATACAGCAACGTGCATACATAGACAGGAGACAGACCAGGGGCCTGCCTGACATTCCTCGTGGCATCGAAGAATTTACCTCTTTTGTGAACCTTGCAGGTCTATTAGATATCCTTTCCTGTCAGTCCACCCACTCGCTCGCCTCTCCTGTGGATGATCGAGTTCCCTTTTTGGTTGCATATCTCGTTTGACATATATGCGGCCCTCTTCTTGGCCGCCGTTTTAGGAATGAAGCAATGGCGGACGAACGGAGAGTTCCATCAGACCCTCGCATAGTGTTCACCATCCTCGCATGTGTTTAACCAAGAACACACGTTCTTTCCTCCCCAGTTTTCCTAGCTTTTCGTCATTCCCACGTTGTCCAGGGGCTCGTCTCTTAACAGGCTTCACGTTGTTTTCAGGGGCCAGGGCTATAGGACGGCAGTTTCTTGCAGAAGGATTCTGCCCATCCTTCAAGTCGGTGCCTGGGCAGAATAAAGTGATCCAGTTGCCCTGCTTCTGTTTATGGAGTCCTCTTGCGAAGCGAATCCGTTCGGAGTGAAGAGAGATTGATGAATGTGCGCTGACCCGTCCCCTTCCCTTGGTAGTTGACCAGACCCTCCTTCTTTCTTCTGTTCGCAGCTATCAGGCTGGGTCCTCCCACCCCCGTTTCCCGAGAATTTGGTTCTCTCTTCCCCGCGGCATCTGTAGAATTACTCAACACATCGCCGCAGTGAGGTGAAAGGCACTTCACTCACGAAAAGATGTCGACCGACTCAGGTCCGTCACCGTTGCCCGGGCTTCCTGGATACGACCCTCAGAACATTCAGCCATGGACCGTCGAAGTTGTGGTTTCGGTGACGGTCCTCGCAGTACTCGCCGTTGTTCTCCGCCTCATCAGTCGCCAAACGAAGGGTCAGAAGCTGTGGTGGGATGACTACTTGATTGTCTGGTCGATGGTGCGTTTCCCACCAACATCATGCTTCTAATCAGAGGCATGACTCTCTAGATATGACTAGAAGCTGACTGTGTAGTAGTTATGGAACCTTGTTGTTGTTGGCTTCATCTTCGCGATGCACTCGGTGGGCATGGGCCTCCACGCAGACAAGGTCGGCGTCGACAATATCGTGTTGATGGCCAAGTATCTCGTCGTGGCAGAGATTCTTTACGCCTGGAACCTGGGCTGGACCAAGCTCAGCTTGATGTTGATGTACTATCGCATCTTTCACATCCCATTCTTCAAGAAGATGACGTGGTTCGTCATCTCTTTTGTCTTCGCCTGGGTCATTTGCATTACCTTCCTCTTCATCTTTATTTGCGTCCCTGTCGAGAAGCTCTGGTATCCCGACATCCCGGGCAGATGCATCAACCAAGTTGCAACCTGGATCGCCAACGCAGCCTCAACCATCTTCACCGATCTTCTCATCTTGTTGCTTCCTCTTCCTCAGGTGTGGAAGCTGCAGTTGCAAAAAGCTGAGAAGATTGCCCTGACCTTCGCCTTCGGTCTCGGTTTCTTGTAAGCGCCTTCTGCCGTAAGAACCACAATCAATCGGTCTTGCTCACCCGTGTCATAGTGTTGTCTTCACCTCGGCATACCGAACGAGCGTCCTCTTCACCTACAGTGGTACCGACCCGAGCTACACCCTCGCCCCAACAGTCGGCTGGACCGCCATCGAAATGTCCGCCGGCATTGTCTCCGCCTGCCTACCTACCATCCGTCCCGCCATGCAGCGCATCGTTCGAGCTTGCGGTTTCAAGGGCAGCATGGGCGGCATGTTCCGCAGCACGACGGCGCTGGGCTTCGGTTCCAGCAAGAATAAGTCCAACTTCAGCAACGGCATGTCCTCGCAGGACCCCCATACGACCAACGGCGGCTCACAAATCGCCCGCAATCTCTCAACGACCAAGCACGGCGCCGGCGAAGATGCCTTTTACCGGTTGCCTGATGACAACGGATCTGAGGGCACCAGCCGCCAGCCTACACCTCCTCTAGAGGACTCCAAGCTGAGGCCAGACACCACTGGGTTTGGGTATTCGGTCTCGAGTTATCCCGTCAAGGAGAGAGATGACAAGAGCGAGGATGAAATCCCCCTTCACGCCATTCGAGTACAGAGAGACTTCAAGCATACGACGGAACGAAGCTAAGGGAGGATCGGATCAATTGTATGAGGCGGTATATATAAGGAATCCTGGGTGACAATGACGAGGCCCTTGGTTGCGAGGTCTAGCGGTAACTTTTACCAATCTCTTAATTTTGGTGTACGAGTGGTTGTCGATGGTCAAGGGTTATGCGATGGCGTTGAATAGGAGTAAAGGAAAACCGACCCAAAAGTCGGCTGCTAGTCCACAGAGAAAAGCAGAAAGTAACGAGCTACGTCAGGAACGTAACATGGCGGCAATGCGCCAATCCTGTGGTGGCAGAAGTCATCTACTGAGTCTAATAATATTGCAAACATGAGAAGATGATGTAGCCACAATGGAGTCATTCCTCTGATGGCTCGAGCCGCGGACCGGATCTGATTTCCAAAGCCCCGCCGAATCAATCCGCATATTCCATTATCATGTGTAGTTAATTTCCTTTTCACATATGCCATCGCCCAAATCTGCTTGAGGTGCTCGCCATGCCTTTTGTGTTAAGGCTATTCTTCTTCTGTCTCTGGCTTTTGGCCGTACACAACATTGCTATACGAGAGTCAGTTCTTGCTCAACCTAATCTTGCGCTGGTTGGTAGAAAACCACTTACTAGTGCAGCCAAGCATGGGCTTTTCCAGTTCTCAGCTCGGTGCGCACTCCTGTGAGTAATACTAGAACCTCCTCCTTAGTCCAGCCGAGGACGCCACAGAGGAGTCTTAGGGTGAAGGCTTCCAAACCATCCAACATTTGAATGAGATTACACATCCCGATATCCTTCAGGTGAGGGTCCTTCGCCCAAGGTCCAACGGGAATTCTAAAAGGCTTATGGACGATGTTGATCAGGCCGGTGTTCTCCCTTACCAGCGTCTCCAACTTCGGCCCGACCTGTCCATCACGGCCCAGGACCTCGCAAGCCTCCATGAAATAGCCCATCCAGCGAAGCAGTTCGGTGCCTTCAGTTGTTCCATCATCCGAATAAAGCATATAATCCCAGTCCTGAAATTCGGCCCAGCCTCCAGGGTTCAAGTTCCTAAGAAAATGTCAGAATGGCAAGCAATGACAAAACTCATCGGGTCTTGGACGTACTCATGGACTCGCCTCACGTATGTTGGCCAATCTGCCAAGGCGCCAGCCATGTAACGACTAAAAATGAAATCGTACTTGTCCTCCCCGATCCATTCGCTTTCGACATCGTCGATCTCGAACTTGACGTTAGGTGGAACCCTGTGACATGAGTTCTTGGGCTTAGTTGATGGTCAAGAGCGAGCAAACTTGGCGAGTAAACGTACCACGCTGGCTGAATAGCGCTCAGGTCATTTCCAAGGATCTGCGTCTTTGTCAGAGATCAAAGCATCAAAAGGTACGCGCTTGGGGTTTTGTAATTGCCTCTGCATTTGGAAATAGATCACCCATTTCCATAGCCCCTACGACGCAAGAAAAATATGAGCCTGGCGTCACAACAGCAAGCACGGCTGCGCGATCGAGCGGATACTCACATATTCCAGTACCAGTGCCCACATCAAGGATCCGGTGAGTCTTGTGCTCATCAATCGGTGCAAGAAAGAGTCGATTTCCGATGGTCTTGACTAGCAATGTGTGCACCACATCAAGTCTGTCCATTTCAGTCTACGAGCAATATTTTTGTTAGTGTTTTTGTGACCATGAACTGATTGCTACAAGGGAAAGGGTGTACCTCATCATTCGGGAATACGTAGGCTGTTCCACTAATTAGCATAGATTGAAGCATATGGAGGTAGCTCATGTGTGCCCATGACTTTGATGTGATCTATTATAAGACCAACACGTGTGACACAGATTCGCATATGGAATTTTAACTCACCGCCAGATCGGAAGGCATGATAACGTCGGCCGTACTCGGTAGGATAATCAAGAACAGAAGATGACAGTGAGGCAGTGTACGAGGAACTACGGAGTCAGCATTAGTACATGTTGCAACTAGAAGCATTCTTCCCATGTGACAGGAAATTGCGATGTTGAAGGAGTCAAGGTTTGTGGGCTTCAGTACATTCTGTCATCAATGGTTGACGCATCGTCCTAAGAGATGAATTAGACTCTGACTTCGTGCGGCGGAAAGCGGATTCTATCAAATCTGATGAACGTACAGTTGTTCCATCGTCAATCTCAATTGTGGCCGGGGTCTCGGCATCTTCGGGAGGAGACTGGGGGGCTGGCGTCGCTCCCGTGCCCGTGACCGATGCTGGAGTGGCTGCTGAAGTGGCTGCTGATATTGCTGCTGCTGCTGGGCTAGTCGCGGACGCTGGCCCGGCGGGAGTAGCAGCCGACTTTGGCGGTGTTTTTGGCGACTTCGGGGACTTTGCTGACTTGGGAGAGCCTGTTGGCGGGCTTGCCGTTGCTTTGGGAGTTGAGTCTGCCATGATTATTGGCGACTGAGATCAATGAGTTGGTGTGGACTTGGATATGGAGTTGAAGAACAAATATAGTCGCAAGATGATCGCGAGAGCGGCTGGAAATGTCGCGGGGTTTTGTAAAGTCACGGATAACAGGTAAACCCCCGCAGCTTGGCAGACATCGATGTTGTTGGTCCTGTTGGAACCAACTGCATTGTTCGATATCGTTATGCGAGCCGCATGCGGACTAGAGCGTGCAGAAGACCGAACTCCTTCCACCGTTGTTTGTTTCCTCGTAGGTGGGCTGTTCCTCCGCCCACAACACGAAGAGACACCCGCCGTCCGACAGCCTCGAAAGCCATCGCTGCTCGTCTGTACACTGCTAGTCGGTAAATCCAATCATCACCAAGACTGAAAATAGCTTGGATGATCTATCATCCATATCTTTCGGGATATTCAGTTGGAATCTTCAAAAGCTTCAAGTGTTTGAGCCATTTGTGCACGTCGTTGGACTGGAGCAGAGTTTCAAGAGCAAGGATTGCTACCAGCTGGTACTTGAAAGCCAGCCACATTTTGACCCCATTCGGACAGCTGCAGCTCCATGGACCTGGTCCGCAGTATTTCATGGGCCAGGAACAGTTCCGGTAGCCCACGCTGTTGGACGGGATACGCGATCCGTCCACAAGAATCCTAGCATTATCACCTCTGCCCCGCTCTGACTCCATTTGTGACAGACCGCGCCAAGTGGAGGAAGGGAATCAATGGCCGTTTACCCATCCACCCTCTTGGGCTCTTGGCTTCGTGTAATAGAGCTAGAAATTTTGCACAGGTTGCTAGAGACAGGCCATCTACTCAGAGTTAGCGACGTTCAAGTACTCTTGATACGTGGCGTATAGGTCGTCTCACTTGCCCCAGTGGGGATCTCGTCAACAGCATCGTGTCCATGGCTACAGACATGGAACCATCATAGAGTTACCCGTTCCGGGCAGTGTAACGCGATTGAAATTACGGCAAGCTTCAAGATCCAATGCACGATCTACGTGTAATGTCCAATCGCCGAGAGTAATATTTCATACTTCTATCAATAATGCTCGCTAAGGCCGTAACCAGTCTCATACGAATGGTAAAGTAACGGAGGCTCAACAGCTTATTTCGCAGGCAGAGGTTGGACTGGTTCCTCGGCTTGCTGAGAGTGCTCTTACTACGCCGTAAGAAATCGCTATATCCTACATTGCTGATAATACCGCTGCTTACGGCCGAGCTTGAGCTTTCTCGAGAAAAGTCTATCCACCACCAAGGTTTCTTTGAAGGAAACGATAGCCTCGGAAAATTCAAGAGAGCTTTGAAGAAAAGAATCATCGACTCAACCCGTAGTACCAATGCCACAGGACTACAAGTGCCCTACAATAGGCTCCCTGCTCTCTTGCGAAAAGGCATTGTATGCATTTCCCGATCATTTTCGAAGAAGCAGCTATTAGTCTCCGCGGGAGAGCAGATCGAGTGGCTCTGTGTGAGTTGAGCTACCTGTGAATGAACTGAACGACTGCATGACATGTTAAAAATTTTCTCCTATCACATCAATATGCTGACTGTCCCGTTTACTATCGTAGCCTCATTGCGGAAAAGTTGTGGTGGACAACTACATAGAGAAGAAGCCTGGCGGCTTTTAGCGTCTCAAAAGTCTTCTTATTCACGAAGGTACTCCGGAGTGTCTTTAAGACAATCTGAGCCAATTTCTGTTACTCCAGAACAGAACCCTAAAGCTCAAGATGCTTCCGGGAATCTGATCTTCATTAGCATAGGCGACTGGTTTGAAAACGGGGCGAATGTCAATCCCCGACAGAATCTTCCTCAGCATCATGAAGTCCTTAGCTCGAATGGGAAGGACCCTGATCTCTGCAAGGCGTCTGGGAAGCAACTGGGAAGGCCATCGGTATTGCGTCATAGCTTCGTGCTTTTATGTATTCCCTTCATGCGATGGGGTACAAAGGCTTATCAGCCTGATGTGTGCGGTGTTCGATCTGACCAAAACTTCTTTCACTTGCTGCGCGCGTCTTACGAGACATATCGGGCTCAAAGTCGCTGGAGCTGGCTTATGAGAGTCAAAGTCATTGATTTTGTCAAGGTATGATACTTTAAACCCTTCCCAACCCATATAGCCTCTGCGTATTCAACTCAAGATGCGCTTTCCAATAATACCTGACACTGATACGACCCTTGACTGAACTCAGTTTGAACTCTTCCGCACCCAACTGGTCAATATTTCTCGGTCTTCCTTTCTGCCCATCGGCCCAGATTTCGATTATGAAACAGCAGATACCGAGCCGCCAATCGGAGTCAATCTTATGATGCATTTGTTTGAAAATCCTGATCATGCTGATATTTTCCCGGTACTTTTCAAGAGGATACCCCGGAAGATGAGAGAAAGATTACAACCGTGTCCAATCAAAGGGAGTTCCGATGGATGGGGTATGCAGTTCGTGGAGACGCCCAACGAGCTCTATGTATTCATCTTCGGCTGTACTGGATTCCTTCTTTGTCTCGCGATATCGGTTACATGGACGTTAGTCAAGAGTGATGTTCAAGGAGGGTTTGCGATTGGCGGATTTGCTCTCGCATTCACACTATTTTGCGGCGGATTACTTCACTCTTACGGTACCTGACCTTGAGCTATATGTTTGGTGGCTTGAAAGAAGAGATGAGTGGGTGATACGTATTGAATACCTTCTGCGTCTTATAAATAAGGTCTTATGATCATTCCTAGGCCCAAATCAGACAATCTGCCAGCTTAGTTCTGAACCTTGTGTACGGGAAGTATTGCGAAGTCGTGATTTTAATCCAGGTTACTTCTCAGCTGGCAATCATCTCATAGCCGTGCATCTTAGATTCAGGGGCTATATTATACCGACGGCATCCTTGGGATCTGCCCATGACTCCAACAAAGACATACATACAGGATTAATAGATATACACAGATAATGACTAAGACACATGTATCTGCCTCATGGGTGCTTAGTGCAGTATCAGGTAATAAGGCATTGATTGTAAGCTGAAGTATCCCATAACAGCCCCAAAATCGGGCTAGCAACTCATGAATTTGACTTCATAGTAGAGCCCTGTCGTCAGATCGTATCAAATGTGGCTGGTGACAGAAGTGGCTTAGGGAGACCATAAGAATGTAGAAGATGTTCAAGCGAGGCAACACATTTGATGTTGGGTCTTGCTGCATACTTGCAATTTGCCTTGTCGTTCAAGGCCTCCGGGACGGGAGATGATAGACATGAAAGACTTCTACCTCTATCCGCTAAGCTCTCGAGTACTATGCCTAAGCTTGAGATCGAGAATGTATAGGCTAAGGAGTATGCCATAAGCGAAAATCCACCATATCACGAGCAAGAGTCCGCTGATCTCCAGACCGATGTAGTACTTATTTGAGTACCTCGTCACGTACCCAGTCCCCCACACCCAGGCAGCAATCAGCATCGCAAGTTCAGGTCTGCTCTTGCTCGGATCAAACCTGAGCGTAGAGCGAATGGCGAGTCTGATGAGCGGATAGAGGCCCCAGGCGATGAAACATACCAGCTCGAGATGAAAGCCCACGATGTTCAGAGTCTCCCAAATACTATCGATGAGCGAAGAAGGTTTCGGTGACGTGAAGGGAAGCACAACTTCACATAGAGCCTGTTTATGTAGCAGTCCGCCCCGCAAGAGCTTGAAGTACGCGATGCCGACGGCCACAATATGTGCCACTCTCGCGTGGAGATACTCGGCACATCCCAAAATCCAGACCAGATAGACGACTAGCGCGGCTGTTTTCCGCTTTTCGATCGCCCTAGTTCGAACACCATCTAAACCGATCCCGCTCCAGCTTCTTCTTTGATCATCTGGCTTGACCAGGCTGTATCTCTTCAAGACACGCACAAAGACGACGGTCCCAATGATATCGCCAAGAAGCTTCCACGTCCCTTCCGACGTAAATACCCTCCCGAAGAAGCCAACCTCAATCTCCTCCTTGAGGAAAAGCGCTGGACTACCCACAGCGAGTTTCAGAGTCGCGATTGGGCCCCCGAACGCGCCCACACCCAGCGCGGGCGCGAGCATCCTCCTAACGTGGTTCGCCAGCACAGCAAACCCCACGACAGCGAAGCTACGCGCGTATCCACCGCCAACTAGTGCCGCAGCTCCTGGTGCAAGGCCCGATTGTCGCGAGTGTGAAAGGAGACGCGCGATCTGAGATTGATCGCCTATACAAAGACGTACAAGTTGGTAGAGCTGTGCCAGCGCGCTGTAGGATGCGGCTGGGATCAGAGCGAATGGGTCATCGGAGAGAGGCCTGTCTGTAGCTCTTAGACTTCCGTGCTGGGCGGTTATTGTAGAAAGCTGTTTCTGCGGTGGTCTTGTATGCTCAGATACTGTTTGCGAAGGGTTGAAGAAAAGCGCGTCTGACCTCTCCGGCGGTCGCTGGCGAGGAAGTGAGGGATCGGACATCGTGACCTGCACAGGGTTTTCTGCGCTGGCAGCGTCGTCAATGAGCAAAAATATTCCTCCTTTGATCTTTGGTACAAGATCAAGGACTGAGGTGGCTCAATCGGAGTGGTCGAAGTAGATGCCCGATGCTGTGGTTGGGCGATCTGAGGCTGAATGTGTGAAAAAGCCACGACACAGAGGAGTTTTCCTTTTTCCTGCTTACTCAACGCCAAAGAAGACTAGCTCACTGAGCCGTGAGCCGACCAGCCACGTCAACAGCCGGAAGTAAACAGAATGAGGGCGATCGATCTCGCGACTTTGCCCTTGTTGTACTTCATCACTCCAAGATGAAATCGAATGCTTTCTCAGGCCAACGGGCCTGCGCTGTTCCGCACGGCGTCAATCCCCCGTCACGCCCCATAAATCCCGCGCCGGAGTGGGGTGAGTCGGGGCAATTTGCGTTCACCGCGCCGATGGTTAGAGGCGAATCCGAACCCGGTACCGATCGGCCCAAGTTGAACGGGTTTAAGATGAATCGTTCATATCAACCTTAGGACGAAGCATCGGTGCTTGAGTGTTTTGACTAGTTCGAGCCCCCCAGAGTCATTCACTTGAGCATTGTCTGTTTTCAATTATCGCTTCGAAACTTCCACCTCACTCAAGATGGCCTCGAAACTTCAGCAGCCCAACGATTCACCGTCGCTTTTTGTCTCCCATTCCCTTGAAACTCAGTAACATTTATGTTTACCAAAGCCTTTCCATTGGAATTTGGTCCGTCTTGTAACGCAGAAGCTGCCGCCGAGCTAAACCATGTCAAATCCAGCTTACGTTGTGTCACCATTTCCCGGTTATCGTCTAATCTCCCTTTTGCCTGAAGGATTGCGTCTGAAGGATCGTGCATGTCGTAGCGTACCTTACACGTGATGGGACTAGCCCCTTGCCCCTCATCCATTCAAACTCATTCCATTGTCAGCACCACGGCTAGACTTCATTCTCACTCACAATCTTGATTCAAAATTCACAAAAACATCGTCAAGTCCGTCTCACGACACCGCCGCGATGGGGCCAATCCTCACCGGGCTCATCGCCCTCCCAGTCCTCTGGATCGCTTCTCAAATTTGGGCTCTATACACAAACTACAGATCGGCTCTCACCGTAGGCTTGCCAATCATAATATGCCCATATGACCCAGAAAACGTAAGCTTCCATGACATCTCAACCGACAAGTTCTCATCTGACACACCTCAAGCTTATCCACGTGGTGCTCTCCGTCCCCTTCCGCCCTCTTCTCAAACGCTTCCTCCCGCCAACCTTCTTCGCCACCGTAGAACTCACCGTCGTAGGCTGGGAGTTTCGCGACAAGTCCTCCGTTCACGACCGCGTCGGTCCGGCCTTCATGCTCGTCACCACGGGTCTCAACCAGCTCATATGCGCCGACCCGACCATGGCGCACGCCATCTTGAACGGGCGGCGGGAGTTTGTTCAGCCGGATATCGTGTGCAAGGCCATGGGCTTCTTGGGTTCTAATATCCTGACTGTACGTTGAGTGCCTTCCACAAACCGACTCGCAGTCTCAAGCCCCTATGTTATGATCTCAACAGATTGGGATGCAGTTATGCCGAGTTTATCGCTTCATTCACAGTGCAAAGAATCTCAAGCTGACAACATTCTCTAAACTTTCAGTCCAACGGCGAGTCCTGGTCCCGCCAAAGACGCGTCGTAGCCCCCGTCTTGAACGAACGCATCAGCCCAGAAGTCTACAAAGCCACAGCAAAACAAGCAGAGTCCTTCGTCAACAACATTCTCTCATCCCCTTCCACCAGCACTCCTAGTATGACCACAGCAACAGCAACAACATCAACCACAATCCAAGGCCTCCGCACAATCGCAATCAACGTCCTCACCAAAATAGCCTACGGCGACAACAAACCCTTCGCTATCACCCCTCTCCCCGGCGACCCCTCGGCACCAATGTCCTACGTCGACGCAATCTCTCTCTGCACGGAACTCCTCGACCTCGCTGCCTTCATCCCCATCCGCATCCTGCGGCTGCCTTTCATGTCCAACGTGGTTCAGACGTTGGGCGCGGCGTTACATAGATTACCTGGGTTGACGGTGGACATGCTTGATCGGGAGAGGCGGCGGTTGGCTGAGGTATCATCTCTGCATGGTCCTTCTGACGAGTTATTGACCACGGCGACGGTGGGAAAGACGGATACGATCATGAGCATGCTCGTCCGCCTTTCAGACCAAGAAAAGAGCCGTGCCGTTCCCGCCGAAAAGAGCGCTACCGCCACCACTGGCAACAGCAACCCCAAATCATACCTCACAGAAGAAGAAATCGCAGGCAACCTCTTCATCTTCACCGCCGCAGGCTTCGACACGACGGCAAATACCCTAGCATACGCCGTCACCCTCCTCGCAGCGTATCCAGAGTGGCAAGCCTGGATCCAAGCCGAACTCGATGCCGTTCTCGGGCCTCCGAGAGCATTTCAATCATCGTCTTCAGCAGAAGAAGAGCGAGGATTACCGGACTACAGTGTCGTCTTTCCCAAACTGACGCGATGTCTCGCTGTCATGGTGAGTCTTCCAACTTCCCTTCCTGCTCGTCGATCGCCATGTCTGTCTCTCTTCCCACGCATGTTTGAGTGAAGGCGGCCCCATCCTATCCCATCTCCCCTTGCTAGATAACTAGATCTTCCTCTCCGCGGGAAGACATACACGTATGATACGACAAGATCCAGACTGACAGAATCCCAAGTTCGAAACCCTCCGCCTCTTTCCGCCTCTAACCCATCTAATGCGCTCAAACATAACAACCCAAACTCTCCCAAGCCAAATCCCAACGTCAACAACCCTCCAATCCTCCTCAACCTCAACATCAACCTTACCATCATCCACAACTACCTCCTCATACACATTCCCTCCTTGCACAGTCTACATAAACACAGTAGCCCTCCACACCTCCCCCAAAACCTGGGGCCCCGACGCCCTATCCTTCACCCCAACCCGATGGCTCACCTCACCCCAGCCATCACCATCATCATCCTCACCACAACCTCCTCACATCCAACCCCCCCGTGGCACATTCCTCCCCTGGTCCTCAGGCCCCCGCACCTGCCCGGGCCAAAAAATGGCCCAAGTCGAATTCGTCACCGTCCTCGCGACGCTCTTTCATAAATGCACCGTCGAGCCAGTCCCTGAAGTCGATGAAAGCGGCAATACTCAAGCAAAATCAACACCCGAGGCAGCAGCAGCACAGGCTAGACAGAGACTATTGGACTTGACGCAGGACAGCCAGCCCAGGCTGACACTGCAGATGAATCGTCCCAAGGATGTACGGCTGCGGTGGACGCGGCGGTGAAAGTAACTAGGAGATAGGGTGATATCATTCAGAGTCACAAGAGAGGCGCAGACATACGATTTCAGGAAAATGATAATTCAAGTTCTATTTTTGATGAATCGATACCCTCAAAGCACTGTCTTCCATAGACTGAAGTACTGCGCCGTGCTTTTCCGCTTGTAGCTATTCAACGCCATCCCACCCGTTCCCGCCAGATTTCAAAAACTCTCGGCGGGTTTCAACTGAAATTCCAGATCATGGCCTGCTTGGTTCGTCCTCATCGTACAACACGTCATCCACTTGCCACACTTTAGGGACGTATGAAGCAAAGGTATTACAACAAGCCCATTGAAGGGGCCAAATATACTACATTGGGCCAGATTCCCCTTATTGGCAGATCTCCTGGACCGCCGGCTCCGCTCTTGCCCTCACCAGTTCCTGGCAGCGATTGGCTTGATGACTGCCAGATTCCTCAGCCAGCACGATTCCGCAGACTGCTCGCCCGACCAAAGCCAGGTAACCACTTCCGCTTGTGCAAGGGTGCGCCACCACTCGCAGAGTTGCTCGTGGGTGTGGTCTCTGTGGAGCCAGGCGTTCCATTTGCGTTCGGCGTGTTCGGGGCATGGTTTGCCATAGGTGTAGTCGGGGCTGTAGGGCCGTGATCATACACAGGCGCACCCTCGTCAAAGCTGCCAGAACGAGCCGGACGAGGGTTTCGCAAAATGGGAGGCGGTGTCGCGCTGGCCCTGTCCTCCTCGCCCGGGTGATTTCGCTGCACCCATGATGGGACACCCATCGGGGCTTGGGGCGCAGTTGGTGCGGGTGGCTCGGCTACTGGTGACGCATGTTGGACAGGACTCGGAGCGGTGCTACCTCCGATGGACCGTCTGAAGAAGTTCAACCGATGCCCACGGGGCGCGGCAGTCGAGGAAGGGGGATAGTGGCTACTGTCCTTGGAACGAGCACCAGTCTTTGAATCATGCTGCGGGCTGTTGGCCACTGCCTCTGCCAGCTGGACCATTTGCGTATCAACACTGTTGCGCCTAGATCCGCTTCGAGATGGTGACTTGCGAAGTTTGCCGTTAATGGGCATGTTCTTTGACGAGGTCTGGCCTGTTTTAGCACCCAAACTCGACCTCCTATTCGGCGGAGGCAGGGGCTGAACCCCGTCTTGGAAGAGGGCATCCTCGGCCGTATCACGTTGCGGCGGAGGGAGACCTGGGACCTCAAATGCACCATCAGAAGAACCGAACATGCCAGCTGTGTTCCATCCGCCGGACGGAGGAAAGCTGAATAGGTCCGGAGACTCACTCCGCTGCTGTGCAATGTACTTTGGGTCCTTGCCTTGCTGTAGCCAAATGTCGAGGCTAGAGTCGAGGGAGTGCATCGAATCTCCATCAGAGTCCCAGTCGAGTTCTCTGTGATTCGATATCGTAGTTTCATCTGCCGACCTGGGGCGAGGGATCAAAGGCGGCCGGGAGTCGAAGTAATGGGCACTGGCTGGCTCTTCGGGTCCAGTGAATGCAGAGGATGGGGGATGTTGGAATACCCGTGCACCTCCGCCGTGATCCCCCTCATCATCCTTGGACGTTCCCCTTGACACTGAGCGATAGCTATGTTGATCCGACACGGCTCGCTGCTTCGAGAGCGTGTCATTCGACGTCTTGAATCTTCGAAGCGTTGATGTGGAAATGGTGTCTGGTGTCGGAGGAAGGCCTTCGCCGGGGTGTGAAGCTGGTGAATCTGTTGTCACTCTCCGCAATGCTTCGCGCTTCGCGTCCTTAGTCTGCTTCTGCGACTGCCCTCTTCCTGCCATCGGGGAAGAGTCTTGAACGGGCAGATTGTCCAGATAGGTATGATCGAGCCTCGCTAGCTTTTGGAGGGGCGAGGTGTGGTCGATGATGTCGTGGAGCGACTGGAACTGGCCTGGACCAGGAGCCCGACTAGTTGAACTGGACCTACTTGGGCGACTGGATCGTGTCGACATGGTGGTCGGTGGTCTTTGTATCCTAGACTGGTCGCTGCCGTACGAAGCCTTTCGAGGTGGCGCGGAGTGTAGTAAAGCACCATCCATAGAGTGTGGCTCGTCTGCATTGGCCACAATTGTTTGATCCTGGTCCTCTTTCTCGCCATACACACTTACAAAGGAACTTTCACTGAGGACGCTGAGGCTCGGGCTCGTCATGCCATTACCACGACGTGGATCCGTCTCATCCACCGCCTCCGTGTTGAGCCTCGGTAAGCTGAGTACGCTACCGCGCGAGCTGAGGTAGACTTTTCGTAGGTTCTCGGTATTTTCGGTATAGTCCGATAGGAAACTCGGCATGCGGTTGAGCGTCTTAGCATCATCTTCAAGTCGTGCCAGGTCCGCTATTCTAGGCTTGGGCGTGGGGCTTCTGAGGCGAGATTCGAGGTCGTCGGGAGGTAGGAAACCGGCTGCGTCGACCATTCGAACCATTTCCCGCTCCTTTAATAGCGTCTCGACCTGGGCCTCAAGAGTCACTATCATCTGGACCGCCTCCTGCACAGCCTTGTCTCGCTTCTCCAACTCGTCGAGTAGCTTGTCGTTCACATCGTCTATTTGTGCTTTCTCGGACTCGAGGGCGTCGACACGCTCTTCGAGCGCATTTTGTCGTTCGCGGCGGTGGAAGAGCTCAAGCTTCAGGTCAAAGTTTTGCTTGTGCAAGGTGGAAACAGTCTGTCGAGGCAGCTATCAGTAAGGGTAGTGTACAAAGATGTGATCCAAGGCTACTCACTGCCTCCATCTCCTTGGCGCCCATGCCTTTATTCTTTGTAGATTCTCCATTGCCTCCACTTGATCTTGGCCGACGTCCATCAACGGACTCGCCTTTCACGGGTGAACTTTGCGCATGTCGTGGTGGTAATTCTACGGAGGTGGCCATGTCCTGCGTTGACCGTACCGCGGCCAACCTGTCGGCCTCCTCTCTTCTCCTCTGAAGTTTGTCCTGGAGATAGGTGGATGCGGCGCTCTGCCTTCCAGAATCAGAGACCCGGTCTCTTGACACAGCAGATCCAGGCCGAGAGGTTACCATCGACGGAGTGCAAGAGCTGTGATGGAACTTGTGGGCAGGGTGAGCACTGGATGGTCTCGGCGAGGTAACGAACTGTGAAGTCGAACTATTTGCGCTTCGAGGGGTCCGTCGGGTTGCACTGGTACTTGTACTTGATCTCGAAGTTGGACGTGGGTAGACCGGAGAGGGTAGTGACCTCTCGCGGTCGCGCGATTGAGTCCGCGCAAGACTATCCATCGTATCTGAGGGAAAAGAAACTACGGCGTCCTGTGCTTGATCCGATTGCACGAGAACAATCGCCCGCATGCAAGTCGACCTAGAAATTCGTATTATCAGACGGCTCTTTGGCCCAGAGGATCACGCCGGCAGTCGGATTGGAGTGCTGAGTGACCGAATTGGGCGACAGCAAGGCGTCGAGGATCAGGATGATGCCTGTTCGAGGTGCAGAAGCGCGAATGGCAGTTGCGTCGAGCTAACGCAGCTGAAGGGGGGACGAGTACGGGAAGGGCAATCGACGTTCTTGGTAACTGAATAATAAGGAGAGGAATCCCTGGGCACGGCGCGGCAGCGAAAGGAAAATTGCAGTGGTAGCAAAGCCGTCGAGTCGTGGCTGTGGATGCGCTTTGAAGGTATAAGAGAGCTGCTATTGTGAGAGAACAGGCCGAGACCTGGTTTCCGCAGCTTTGGGCCTACGCGACTGCTGATGGCGGCATGTGGTGGAAGTGCCGTGCAATACTCTTTTCCCTGGGCGATACGGAGTAGGTACTGAGGGGTGAACCGACAGGCCGTCTAGACAGGAGCTTTGCGTTACGTCGGATGGCTCGCCATGGACCGATGCAAACGTGGAAAGGCAGGGCAAGCGGGCGAACTCTCGAGTCGGGTCTTTTGTCTCCCACAACGTCGGATCGGCAGTTGGGTCCAGCGTTGGAGGCTGGGCCGTGTCGCAGACGTTGTATCGCCGCAGCGCAAATATCTAGGTATCGCGATGCCGCAGGAATGTCTCAATTGACGAGGGGCGGCGATACTGGAATGTCTCGATTGCGTGGTGCTTGGTGGGACAAACGGAGGGTCCTAGGCGCAGGAACCCAGGCAAGCTGACGACAGAGGCTGGGAACGCAGGGCAAGGAAAGAAATACTTGGTATCTGGAGCTGAGCTGAAGTAGTGAATGTCGATGGTGGTTAAGATGATGTCGATGATTGTTTGCAGCTAGATGGAATGGTCTTTAGTGAATTGCCACCGTCAATGTCGTGTTCGCGAGCAATGCTGGTGTTGCGATGGACAACGATGTTGGTGTCGTCTAAGAAACGATAGGCGACCTGGTCGATAATGGTGGAAAAGCAGCTAGACACCTGAGGACCAGGCTCCGAAAAGAGACCCTTGGGAGGTCCAGGGAGCAGATAGCGACCGATCGACAGGGCTATCTCGGGGTTGTTCTGTTGGCCAATTGAAGTTTAGCGATGCGAAGATGACGACGGGGTGCGTTTCTTGGTCAAGATGACTGATGATAGTGGTGGCAGTTGTTGTGGTGACCCTCGCACATAGAATCTGGCGCTGACAGTTCGTGGGAGAGGAAATGTAGAATGGCGAGGATGACGGAGCAGGTAGCACATTTCTTTCTGTGCCCTCTCTCTACTGCAACTGATCGGCCGCGAGTCGGAAGAAGAAAGAGACACACACGGCTGGCGGCGCAAAGGGAACCTTGGGTGACAGGAATACGCACACACAGGAGAAGGAAGGGGAAGGGCGTCTGATGCAACGGAACAAAAGTGACGAGGGTAGCTGCAGGGGGCTTAAGGGTGTGGAACTGTGTGGATGTGACGGGACCAACTGCAGGCACGCGGGGAGTCAAAAGGCAGCAATTCCAAGGTTGAATTATTCGCCAATGGGCAGCAAAGCGAGTGACAAGATGTGGGAGACCGCAGACCCTTGCAGGAGAAGAGTGGGATGAGGTGGGATGTGATGGGCCAGACGCGATGGTTGGACACAGGGAGGAGATGCGCAGCCGAGCAAAAGACCAATAGGTGCAAGGATCGCGGTGGGGGAAAGGTCGAGCGAATGCCGTTGGAGGACGAGGTGATGCGCGTTGATTATTTGGTGATGTATTCGTTGGTGTTGGTGATGAAGTTGGTTGGATCTTGCAGGCAACGAGAAAGAAATGGGGAATATCAGGCGAAGTGGCTGGATTGGTAGGGCCGTATGAGAGTGAGAGTGAGAGTGAGTCTCAGGATGAAGGTGAGATGTGAGTGAGTTACAATGGTGTGAGAACCTCGACTGAACAAGCGCAAGCACAGGCAAGAGAAGATGCGCCTCCTCCACGATCCAATGCTTCAAAAGAAAGACATCAGACCATGAATTCAGACCAGTCGAGTAGAGAAAAGACGAGCGAAAATTAGTGAAATGGGCACAGATGCCCGCTGCAGGCAAACAAATATTCTTGCTTTTTCCCATCCGTCAGCGTGTCTCTACCAAGCATGCGAGCCAACCCAATTCTCAGTGTCGGAGAACATTCAATCGACTCGGCCAGCTAAGCTGTTGCGCGTCGCGCCTCACTCTGATCGCTTGGTGCCTGATTGTCCCTCGCTCTCTTCTTCGGTCCTAGTCGGATCTTCACCAAACCTTCAGAATTGGCGCGCCGCCCGCGCAAGCTTCCAGGCCAGCAAGGACAGGAACAGGAATAGCATCGGACAAGGGAGATTGCCTGGCGCAGAGGTCGCCGCTGTTAGTGCCGACGACCGGCACCCGTCAGTCGCTAGTCTCTGCTCTAGCGGCACGTTGCGTGAGGAACTACTTACAAAGTGTGTTAGCTAAGAAAGTGAAAAGCACCACCACGCAGTACTGTGCTCCGTACAGAGTTTGCCATTGATCGACATCTCCAGCAGACTCAGTGGCATGAGTGAGTTTGACTTCCAGGTTCTGGGAAGCTGTTTGGGCAGCAATGAAGTCACGAGACGAATGTGTCGTGTTGGTGATGATATTGGCGCTGCTATCATCTCATTCTCATCTAATGTTTATCTGACCACCCAAGTCTCGCTCAGCTCGCGCAGCTGTCAAATCCTTCTGTCTCTCAGGTCGGTAATCGCTATGACCTCTGCTCATACGTTGTCAATCTTGCATTCCTTTGCGGTGAAGAAGCGTATGCGCAATGTGGAAATGCCGACTAACATGAAAAAGCCTATAGCTCGGGCATTTTTCTCATCGATTAATCCTTTTTTTCTTTCTCGTTTTTTTGCTTCACAATGGCGCCGGCGCTAACAGCCACTACAAATGATCCGAGCTCCCCTTGCATAAGTCAGCACTTGTGAGCTGTGTGTGTGATTATGTAAGAAGCCCTGTTCTCTTGTGTTTGTGCACGCGTTATGCAGGGGTACGTCTCTCTGGTGGGTCCCCTGCACGCCGTCCAATTACTCCGAGCTGCCATCCTTGTTACTTCTGCTCCCTCCTCTGCATCTTCCTCCTTCACGCCCAATAAGAGTCGATTCCAACGTGATGGAAGCAAGGTCCTCCCCAGTTCCCCGGCTGCAGGCTGACTCTGCCGTTCAAGAGCATCTTCAAGGGGCGCGCCATGATCCATTGCACCCGCTCGCAAAAGGGGGCAGCGAAAGAGGGGTTGATTTGAGAAAGCCGCAGGCAAAATGTCGTTGTGTCTCTCTCCACGAGCAAGCCTTGCTTGCAAGAAGGAGGCTGGTGTTTAAGACAACAGCTGACAGTCCCTGGCAGATACCGAGGCAATGTTGTACAAAATACGGATATCCGGCCGCCGACTGCTACGTCCGTACCGAGTCTCATCTCTCATCAAGAGGAAGAAAAGAACCGATGGAGGTTCAAGGGTCTTGGTCGCAGTCGCTTCTCTTACTATCACCGTCAAAGCGCAACAAGTCCTGCGGCTGTCCATCGATAGACACAACGGCAGGTCACATTGGTACCTGATATTGACAGCCCTCTCATCTCGTACAAGGCCGATTGGGTAGCGCCACGACGCCGAGCCGTGAACCACTCCACCTGCTCCCATTTCGATGCGACTGCTTCCTTCGTCCAGAGCCATCGGCTTTTGACTCTGCGCCGTCTGCTTCTGCCGCATCCAAGTTTGCAGTAGCTCCTCTAACTACCTCCTCGCAGACTATCGTACGGATACACATCGTGCCAGGTCCATCAAACGATCCCCGATCATTTTGACGAGCGTCACCCACCATGGCTCTTTTCAGTGTTTCTCCGTACCTGATGACAACCGTCCACAATGTATCCATGAATTGGGACTCCGTGTTATAAGTTTCTACCACTACGAGCCAAGCCAACTCCAACATCATCTCGCCACCAACGTAGCCCAATCTGCGACCTATACGGATACCCCCGCCAAACTGCGCATCCTACGGCCTGCCCCGGCTGGTTCCACGCATCTAACAAACGCCTCCGGCCACCGTCCCCGAAGCCCAAGGCCCACGCCCACACCAACGCACCCAAAACACCAAAATAGCGTTCCCGGAATCTGGTTAACGTTCCGCTGGCCCCACCGGCCTCGGCCCCAAGACTGTGCGCGCGCCTGGCCTGGTTGTCTTCTCTTGCCCTTGGTTTGTCGCCTTCGTTCGCCTCTATCGAGACCGTTCTGTCCAGTATCCACAGCATGCAAGCCCGATCGATGGGAGGGAACCAGCAGATTGAGTTCTCCCTTCCATGCCCCTCCATGACTCGAAGATCCTCATGTGATACGCAACTCAGGAAACGAACTGGTGCAGCCGTTGCTCGAACTCAAACTGCGAACCGGCGTCTGGAGTGCGGCCCGCGATGTGACAGAGGACAAGCCCGCCGCGCCCCGTTGCGCATGCCCGACGCTGAGCCGGCGTGTACGCTTGCGCAGCGGCCGATGAAACCTTAGGCGGTCAGCTCGGTGGTCTACAAGTCCGCATTTCAATCGCTTGGGAGTGCTGTCTTCCACTTCTCACGTTTCCCTACTACCGGTGTCACTTACTTAGATTAGCTGTGCCATCATGTTCTCAATCACAGTCACACCTCACAACGTCAAGTCTCCAAGAGGAGGTGGAAGTTTCCCTGAATCCGGGCAAAGAAGCACTCAACCTGAAGCACTGCAACCAACAGAGAATTTATCCCTGTTGCTACCGACCCCAGACAGCTCACTGATTGCAAGGGTACACGGCGAACACGAACGCGACGCCAAATGCCCCTCCAATCTTGCAGCTTAATGTGTGTGCTCCAGAGGTGCTACTGTCGACTCAGACATCCGACATCAACGTTGCAGAAAGAAGATATCTTGCTACCTGTGGTATTGGCCATGTGACCATCTAGACAGAGGCCGAGTCTGATCTCCTGCGCAGTCCGATGTGACCCACTCGTTCACACCTTCTGCCTGCGAGCAATTAATCACCTGCCCAGGATACCGTCATTTTCAGCGGAAAGATGACCCGAATGCGTCGAATCGGCTTTGCAAGCTGCTTGGGCTGTGACCCCTGTGGACGCCAGATTTGACTCTTCTGTGCATGTAGGAAGAATCATGACCTGCAAGGTCTGATTTCTCTTGAGAGCCTGGTCACGAAGGCGACTTACTATGCAGGGCGCATAGTGTTCGGGCGGGTACCAGATACTGGAGATGAAGGCCAATTGAGGTGTACATCTCAGCGGACCGTTGTGATATTATCTATAGAAAAGGAAGAACAATATGGCTTGCTTGGTCTCCTCCTAAGTGTAGGCTATGCCGACCCTTATTCAGAGTATGGTTCTTCCCGAAATTACTCACGGCAAAGCTCTGTCCGCTAACGACAACCCGCAGACTCTCGCCGGCCTCGTATTCAACCCCAAGCGCCCAAATTCCAATGTCCAGCCTGACTACCTCGCCAGGCGTAATCTTCTCCTCCTTTTCGTGCGGGTGGAACGGCCAGTGTGGGTGCATGCTCCTGGTCTCATCGATGGCTCGATGAGAAGCCCGGAGGATGCCCACAGGGCCCTTGTACAGCACGACTTCCGTCTCTTGCTCCGGCTTGAATTCCTGGAACGAGTTCACGGGTATGCCCTTCCATGGAATGTTAAGGTTCTTCATCTGCTTCCCATCTTTGTCGAGCTTCTGAATCATAACGTACACATCCATGTCGTCGTGATCTGGGCAAGACATGTACAGCACGGCTTTGGGTAGGCCCATGATGTTGGTAGTTTCGGGAAAGGTATGAGTAAAGCTGACGTTTCCGCCAGACTCGGAGTCGTAGCTGACCGTCGTCTTCGTCTCTGGCGCAGTAGTGGAGATGAGCGTCTCCTCCGTGCCAAGAAAAAACTCCTTGTACTGCGTTCGCGCCGGCGGGAAATCCTCCTCAACAATATTCTCAATCGCCTGGGGAGTTTTCTCGCCAAACCGCAGCAGAGACATCCTCACCTTGGACGTCTTTTCCCATCCGTTATCGACGCCCTTGAGGTACCGGTCAAAGAACGCAAACAACTCATCTTTGGCCTCAGGGTTACCCCAAAGGTCAAACCACTCCTGCCACGGATGCCATCTCAACCACTTCTCCTTCGACTGCACCTCCAACCAGGCCCGGATGGCACCCATACCGTGCATCGTGTTCGTCCACGTGCCCGTAATATACGTTGGCACATTGATCTGCTTCATATCTGGCCTCTTGTCGTTCCACCACGCGTTAGCAAGCGGATGCCTCGCGTACATCTCGCGAAAGCTCTCGATACCGCCGCGGCCTTTCAGCATGTGCTTGATAATCAACTCATCAAATAAGTCGCCAGCGTACACGCCTCCCCGCGCAAACTGCTCGCGGTACAAGTCTCCGCATCCTTCCCACGGCGCAATGGCCTTCAAGCTCGGCGGTCGCAGCGCCGCGATGAACCACTGCGCGATTGCGAGGTGCGAATTCCCTGCGAGTCCGACGCTGCCGCTACACCAGGACATCGCCGCCACGGCCTCGATGGCATCGTACCCGTCTTCGGCTTCTTGGCCGCCCATGATGACCATTGGTGTGTTCTCGTCGCCACTGTCAAAGGCACCGCGCGTGTCAATGTTGACGATGGCGTAGCCGCGGGGAACCCAGTCCGCCGGGTCAGGCGCCTCGAACTTTTCCAGGCCGGAGAGCGTGCCAGACGGGATGCCGAGGTTCCATGGCGTCATGTAGCCCAGCGACGTGAGACCGTTGAACTTCTTGCCAAAGGGGGACCAGCATATTAGCGCAGGCACTTTCTCTGTGGTGTTTGGCGGGCGCAGTACGTCTGCGTAGAGTGTCGTTCCGTCTCTGACTTTGATAGCGACGTCGTGCTCTAGTAGGATGGCGGAGGGCAATGGACGCGCGTCTGGATGGGGATGTTTCCAGCCAGCGGGTAGGGTCTCTATATGTGGATTGAGGCCGTCGTAGCCATCACGACCGGGTGTTGGTGCATTCAACGGCTCGATAGGCACTTCTAGACCGGAGAACCTTGAAGACGGCATTATGACAAGGGCCTTTTTCTCTCTTGCTAACTTGTTCTTAGGTCGGAAAGCGCTTTGCTATAGTGTACCCAGTGAGACCGTTAACCTGCAGTTGCAAGTCCCGGTCTACTTGTACAAAGGCCATCTTCAAAGACTTCATGACTTCGGCTTGTACAAATTCCAACTGAGTCTGACCCCTCCTCTCCCGGCCCTCCGCAGTCATGAAAGGAAGAAGTTGCTGGCCCGGCTGCTTACGGGGGTGGGGTGTGATGGAGTGTCGTCCAAGTCGGGAAGAAAACAGGCCCGCCAACTCCCGAACCGAGCGCCTTACACTGGACTTAGCTACCAGCCGATGCCGAACCGAAGCATTCCCCTCGATTGTACAGTGCTAGTGTAGTGAATATCCCCCACCACTCTTCCGCCCCGTACCGATGGGATTAAGCTAGACTGTTCCGAGAGGCTAGGAGTAGCTTTCGGCAGGATAGCGGAACATGCTCTAGAGTTGTTGCACTTGCCCGAGCTCAAGGTCCTAGTTAGTCTATGGGCTTACGGCTCGGTGGGCAAGAAGTGTCTTGATCCGTTCAACACTTTGGATCATCAAACGTTCATGTTGCCTATAAACACAACGATTCATTCCGTTCCATAGACACGAGTAATATCTAGAGAAAATCAAGCTTTACTGAGGCATAGGATCTCACACATACCTTTTTCAACAGAAAGTTTCCCTCATCTGACGCTTTCATCATGGTTATCGCAACCGACTTTGCAAAGCCTTTGGCGACCATCCCGGTCCCAGACGGAAAGAAAAATCTCAAAAATGCATCAGCCACGGCTCCCTTGAAGCCTCAGCCAGCGGGTCCCAACAGACTATTCTCTCAAGAAGGTGCAGTCTTTGGAGATTTCCGTGATGATCTCCTCCGCGATGGCTACGTCGTAGTCAAGGGCGCTATTCCCCGCGAGAGAGCAGATGCCTACGGCGAGGAAATGATGTCCTACCTTGAGAACTTGTAAGTGATCTATTTTTTCACACTTTCAAGCCTCTCAACCGAACCAGCACGCTGACAACTCAAATATAGCGCCGGCGGTCTCGGCTTCAACCGCAACGACCCCTCCACCGTCAAAGAATCCAACCTCCCGATCATCACCGAAAAGGGAATGTGCCTAGGCTACGGCGTCGCTCACGAGTCCTTCACCTGGGCCATCCGCCAAGAACCAGGCCTCGTCGACGCCTTTGAAAAAGTCTACGACACTCCCGACCTCATCGTCTCCTTTGACGCCGTCAACATGGCCTTCCCCAACCGGCCCGACGTCAAACCCAACAACCCCTGGCCGCACCAGGACCAGGACCCGGAGAAGCCAGGCTTCCGCTGCCTCCAGGGGCTCGTGAACCTCCTCCCGAACGGGGACCGCGACGGCGGGCTCATCGTCTGCAAGGGCGCGCACATGCTCTCGGAGGAGTTCCACGAGGCGTTCCGCGGGGAAGAGGATAAGATTTGGGCGTGGACGAAGGAGTGGTATGGGTTCACCGACAAGGGGATGCAGTGGCTCAAGGACCGCGGGTGCGAGTGGATCAAGGTCAACGCGGAACCTGGTGACTTGCTGTTGTGGGATAGCCGGACGCCGCATTATAATCTCAGCCCGGAAGGCACGTCGCCGCGGTTCTGCGTGTATACTTGTTACATGCCGGTCGCCGAGGCCACGCAGGAGGACTTGGTGCGGAAGAAGGGCGCGTTCGAGGAGTTGAAGAGCACGACGCACTGGCCTAATGCGATGCACGTTGGCGGCATTCCGGTGTTGAGGAATGGGGAGCCGTGTCCGTATAATACGGGCAAGCCGAGGAGTGTGCCGAAGCTTTCGGAGAGGGGGTTCAAGTTGACGGGTATTCCGTATATCCAGGGGGTTCCTATTGATGCTTTGGGAGAGTGAGGATGAGGTTTGTGAGGACTGGGCAGATGTCTGTGGAGGATTATGTTTTGGCTAAGCCATCAGATTGTTTGTCTTTAGTGTTTTGAGTGAACTGTCATCCGTTTAGTCTCAGTCAAGTTTTGAATACTCTTTGACTTTGCTCCCAGAAAGATTACTTTTCTATGTAATTTTACCACGAATTGATGAGAAAACTAGTATTACTAACTAACATTGTACATGTTCTCAACTAAAAAGCACTTTACTGGAATGAACGATCTTCTGTAGGCGAGAACAGCCTGTGGCCACATCGAGAACGACACCCGGGAGATTCTTTGAAAAGACCATTTTCCATCGACCACTGAATGAAGTCAAGATATACATATCTCTTAAGTTCTCGCCCACTCCGATTCTTTTTGCGACTTTCTTATACAGAAAAAGAAAGGATACGGCCGTGATAAGGAAAAACCTTCAGAACGATGTGATTCGAGGTGCCATTCACCGCGGTAAATAGAAAAAGAATGACCAAATTCAGATCTCACTTTCAATTCAAGTACTGCCGAAACACCGTACCTGGGACACAGATTACCTGCCTAATCAAACTTTATATCATTCACCATACATCTCGGATAGCCCCAACCATGTTTACGGAGTACTCTTGTTTCATCACTCAGAGGCGAGCTCAGGCCAAATCTTCTTCGTAGCCCACATCCTGATACGCGACCCGAACAGATACACAGGAACAGTAATGACTCCCAAAACACCAGCAATGACGGCGAAGATGTTCATGGCGCCCTGATATCCAATCAGATTGATCAACGGGACCGTGGAGTAGCTCAGGCCAAACGAGATGAAGCCGCGTCCTGCACATAGGACCAAGAGAAGCGGTCCCGCCTTGCTTGGAAAGCTGTCAATGGCGTAGGTGATGCCGACGAGGTTGGCTCCCAGGAAGGCAAAGTACCCAAGGTTGTAGGGGGCTACGATAGTCATCCAGTGCCAGCGGTCGGGGTGTGCGCCTGCCTGTCCGAAGAAGACGCAGGAGATGATGGCTGATAGAATGGGGACACTCAGGATGATTAGTCTGTACTCAGGCTGCGAAGACGAGTTAGCATCGGCTCGACATACATACCGGAGAACTTGCAGACGTTGCTTACCTGGAAGGTTCCGCTCTTCCAACTACTCATGGCCCGCACCAGCATGTCAGATCCGTAGCCGAGGAGAGGTACCAAGATGACACAGTCGAGGACTTGTACCAGCTGGACATATCCCAGCCAGTCGTATTTGAATGTGTACGGAGGCGCCATCAGGATCGTTGCAAAAGTTGAGGCTTGGTAGACGTAGATACCCAAGAAGGCGCCGTTGAGTAACAACATCCAGACGATGTTTGGTAGCAATAGTGATTGCATCGTCTCCTTGTAGAAGATGACTGTCTGTTTCCACTCGGGCTTGAAGTGGAAGATTCTTAGATTATGGCGCCAGGTTCGGGGTCCAAAGACTTCGGGTTGCAGAATATGGTTTTGTCGTGTCAGGACCTGGACAATCATCTCGTTGTCGCCGTTTTTGTTGACGTTGCCTTCGTCGTCTAACTTCAGATGGACAGCGCCCCCTATAGCGATATCGTATTAGTCTAAGCACGCACCAGTTGACTGGGGCCCCCAAGATACGGGCGGAACCTACTGTCGGCATCAACTGGTCGATCATACTTTGTTTCTACAGCAAAGAAGAAAGCCAGGACAAGGATAACGGCGTTGATGAATGTGATGATTAAGTACCACCACTTGAGTCCCATTGGAGGGACGATGTAAGCCGTCGCAACGAACATCGCCGCCGTCCCTGCAGTTTGAACACCAATGAACCAGGACAGCTTGGCGCTTCTTTCGTGGAGGAAGTGAATCTCTTCAATTATGAAGGGAGCGAGTGCCTCACTTTGACCAGCGGCGATGCTGTAAAAGTTGCGACCTGCGATATGGCTGCTCAAGGACGTCGAGAAGGCGCACCATAGACCTGACAAGACCAGCAGAACTAGTGACACGAGGAATACAGGCCGCCTGCCTATAGTCACGCAGAGCGGCATGGAGAAGAGGTTTCCTATCCCCATGAATAGCGTCGGGTATGTGAGAAGGTCCGTGGCTCGCGTGGCATCTTCGGGGGGATACTCCTTTAGTACGGAGGGGAACACGGCGCCGAGACCGGATGTGACAAGGACGGCGATGGCGGAGTATGAGCCGACAACAAAGATGATGAGGTACTTGTGCCATGTTGGAAGGTTGAGGGGGTCTGTCTCCCGCCATTAGCATTAGATGTGTCCTGCTTCGCAAATTTGGTTTTTGGGTACGGTACGAGATTTGGTAGCTTTACCTTTGGGGTCAGGGCTAGGAGTGGGAATTAGGACAACTGAACCGCCTTGAAGTAGCTGCACGGTCCCGTATGCCTGATCTTCCTGCGCAGTGACCTTTATTGCCGATCTCTCGATGGTGTCAACATGAGGCTCATCATCTTTGGTGCCAGGCATGGTCGGCAAACGAGGCAGAAATACTTCCAACAACTCAAAAGACGGTCGGCAATTTGGCGTGAGGCGAGCAAGAAAGTTGATAGGACGTTGAAAATTGTCGCAGCACAGACCTAAGCAGCAAACTCAAAGTCGTGATGCCGGCAAGGGCCCGTTGACGAGGTTCCATGCTTCTGACTATATACGAACTGATGTCTGAGCGGTTGTTGTCGCTTCTAGATCTCTTTGTGTTGACTGTCTATAGTCCTAATAGCCATTTTAATTGACTGTATTGAGTCTCATCAAGTTGCAGGAGTGTAGTGTGTCCTGTGGTCCAATCAAAGCTAGACCATTATCAGAGAATAGCTTCATTGGGCTGTCGGCTCGGCTCAGGCCCATCAACTCCCGATGGTCACGGTAGAAGCGTGCCTTAGACCAGTAGCATTCCTACCGATCACAGGGGCTAAGCCTACATGTACGGCTCCCCATGTTTGCTTGCATTGTAAACCCCATGGGGAAGATCTAGGAGTCTAACCGCTTCCAGAGTCTCATTGGCCGAGTAGACATCTCGTTGTGAAGAATTATGGCAAACACCCTCTGAGATAGGCTGAAATTCCCCATCTCCTACCTCCCCCACTATTCCGAGCTGATCATCGCGTCAACCGGAACGAGGGGCCGGTCGGCCTACGCAGTGTCCACCACCTAAACCACCCAAAGAAACTCCCGAAACGCTTCCGCGAGTCATTCGATCTCCTCGTTCTTTCTGGGCCGTGCCGTCTCTTCACGTTTCGGAAACGCCAAAGTACTCCTCATAACGACGCGCTTCGGCATCTCAACCTCCCCAGCCGAACCCTCATCTCCAGCTCCCGAACAACCCAGTCAGTCAGCAGCCAGTAAGCGTACCAGTCTAGCCAGGCCAGTGGAGAATACTCAGGTATCGGCTATGTGAGGAATTTCCACACACCTCACAGGCAACGCGCGGCAATGTCATCATATACGAACCCCGTACCCACTCCCGCGGCGGCTGCCGAGCCCTCGTCCGTCGTCGTCGAGTCTTCCGAGGGCACCTCGGTGGCGGCGGGCTCGGTAGCCAAGAGGCGACGTATTAACTTCGCCTGCAACTACTGCCGCAACCGGAAGACGCGCTGCGATGAGCAAAAGCCGTCGTGCCGGGCCTGCATCAACGCCGGCATCGAGTGCGTCACGACGGACCGGCGGAGGCCCGGCGTCGAGGTCCAGCGCCGGGAGACGAAGCGCCGACTGTCTCGGGCATCCAGCGCGTCCTTGACGCATTCGCTGACGGCCGTCGCGTCTCCACACTCACCTCGAGAAGAGCTTGAGAGCTCTGAGCTGCCGCCGCCGCCGCCGGCACTACCGTACACCCGCACCAAGACTTCACCGTCGATAGAGCTGCTCTACAGCCGTGACCGGACAGCGTCGGTAGCGGCTCCTAAGCTTGTCACGGTTCCCAAGGATGCTGCCGTCACCATCATACCGGAAGATGAGGAGCCTCCCGCCTGCCAGGCCCCGCCTAAGTATCAAGGAAAGTTACCTGTAGTACGCCCCAGCCGCGGGAACAACTCGGTCGAGATCCTCGGCGACTGGTTGGACCTTGCTGCGCGTCGGCTAGGGATTCAACAAAGGCGCGGGATGCCAACGCGCATAGACAGGCCGCCGGCTTACCGCATTCTGTCGTCTGAACCCTGCCCGTTTCCTCCCAAAGAAATTGCCCGCAAGCTTGCTGCCCGCTACCTCGAAGGTATCAATCTGGTCTATCCCCTCTTCACCCCAGACCGTCTCATGCGAGACATTGACACAGCCGTGGAACTCGGCCCAATAAACTTCGCAGAGGCACGAGGTTTAGCGGCCTTGGTGTCGGTCTACCTCGTCATGTCTATCGCGTTTGCTTCCGCGGCACTATCGGAACCAACACTGGATCCCGGGGACTATGTAATATACTGCAAAACTCTCATTGGCCACCTCGTCACCGTCAACGGCGTCGAGACTGTCAGATCCTTGGCGCTTCTTTCATTGTGTCTTCACTGCTATGATGAGTGCGCTGGGGCTTGGAACATTCTCACCACGGCGGTTTCTATTGCAACGTCGCTGGGCCTGCACAAACCTCGAACGTGCCGAGGCGGCAAAAACAACCGCCCTGACAAGAGGCCAGACTTTGCCAATGAGGAAGAGCGCAAGGCATTCTGGCTCGGCATCTTTTCCTTTGAAAAGTTCTTGGCGTTCGAGTTGGGTCGCCTTTCTTCAATAGAGGATGAGGAGTGCTACCCGCCTCATGTCGAGATGCCCACGGGCAACGGTACGTCGTCGAAGGATAAGGCGTTTGCTGTGACCGTCGACCTTGCGAGGATACTCAGCGAGATTGGAAGAAAGGCTGTCATCGTCAGCCGGAAGGAAGACGGACTCCGAGACGGTGCACTACAAGCTATCATAGCTGAAAAGGTTGAGACCACAGGGGAGGCACAGCTGCTCTTAACCAGATGGGGTGAATCAGTGCCCGATGAGCTAAGGTACGTTTGACCGTCCCTCGTGAATACCCATACGTGAATAGGTGAAGGTGGAGCTGACGATGTTCGACTCCAGACCGATATCAGACATCTTGATCGGCTCAAAACAGTGCCCCTTTGCATCATTCATATCGATGCATTATAATAATGCGTAAGTGAGCTTCTCGTCTCATTGCATCAGATACAGCTCACTCACACGACACATCACAGGCTCGTGATCCTCTCACGAAACAGTCTTCTAATCAGCGAAGAGGCAATCACGTCAGGCGCCAACTTGATTGCTAAAGGCAAACCGTGGGATTATATCATGCGGAATGGGCAAGGTCTCACCGCCAACGCCGCCCGGAAAGTTCTCAGGATAGTAGTCGAAGCGGTCGACTCCAAGTCAAATGCGATCCTACCGAATCTTCTTGCGCCACTCCATGCACTCACAACCCTAGCTGTCCATGTCGTAACGCACCCAGACTCTCGCATCTCAACCATGGACCTACACGTAAGCCGCTATTGCGCGAGCCTTTTCGCCCTCTTGACGTCACTGACATGCTCATAGCTCATTCAAACGGCCTCAGACTCCATGAGAGAGATATACACGAGGCTTCGGGGTGACGGCTTACTGGACATGCTGCTACAGAAGATCGACTCATTCCTTCACAAAGGGCTGCCGACGCCAGGATCGTCGAGTAACCGAACAACTACTACCGTACCAGCCATGACTCCAAGATCCATGCCAGACGCCAGCCCTTGGCAAAACGCTGGGGAGACACCGACGCCCAGATCGGTAGATGCTCAGTGGTCTGGCAGTGACGACAGCCGCCGCAGGGAATCAGGTGGCAATGTGCCTGGTTCAACAATGCCCTTTTATAACCAAGGAAACGGGTTTCCCAGCGGATCGGAGTTCGGATTCGACTCCTTTGGCGAGATGCCCATGGTTGGCGACGAATGGTCGCCTAGTCTGTCTGATGGGATCGGATGGGACTGGGCGTGCTTTTCTCATCTTCTAAACGACCAGTACCAGCCACAGTGAAACTCATTCGTGGGACCATCACCTAAAATCCCGTGTCAGCTTGCCACGACCGCACCGAATTTGCCTTAATCTCTGTCGAGACTCGATCCCTCTGTCGCTTCAAGGATTCAAGGAGACGCAAGGCTTGATGTCGCAACAGTATCTCAACATATTGCTGCTTAAGGTGATATGACAACATAATTAGAGACTCTCTAAATTCTTGCTGGGAGACACGAGTAAGACAACTAGATGGAAGATCCACCTTTGTTACGAGAGCCCGGAAGAGCTGGGAGCATGATTCCGCCAAGAACTTCGGAATCACCTCTGGTATCTCGGGGCCTATGAAGTCCAAGTATGAAATCCAAGAACGCTGCGTGGAGCGGACCAGCGTGAATGATGGCCGATTCGATTGATTAGAGGATGTTTTTTTTTTTTTTTGGAAATCATGACCTCTGGTGGAAACAAAGTGTAAGGATCGGTGACAAGTTACAGGAGGAGCTCATTGTGACTACGCGGCTATAACGAGACCAGTCAGGGCAGAGGCTTTAGAGGTTATCTCTGAGCAGTCCTCTTCGGAGCCATGTGAACATCTCCAATGAATCAAGAAGCCATCAGTGTTCTTGCGAATCATGAGTCGTTGATTGCTAATGGTCCATATTTTTGAAAGTGCCGAGTCGGCCCGCAGTTCCAACTTTATGCTTGAATAAATGCCTCGTATTCCGGCCACAGTGAATGGCTACTTCCATTACTTTAAGCTAGACCACCATCTCAGTGTGCATTCATGAGGCGTTTTATGTTGTATTTCTAGACCACCACACTGGTGCTGGGTCTCACTGGCGCCAAGAAAAGAACGGGATAGAATGCGTGCTGAGCCACCGGTAACGTACGTAGGACTCGGTGCATAATACTTGGCATATGACAACTCCTTAAATCACATTGGCTGCTACTATGTAAGCAGCCCTACGGGAACGAGAACGATAATTTGGTACAACGACCTGTAACAATCATGGCTGCGGAGAGCCTCATCTTCGTTTTCGTTTTCGTTGTCGAGTGGGTCCATGTCTGTGGCTCAGTAGTACTGCGCTGGTCGTGCAGTTCCACCTTGTGAATCAGCAAGAGCATCTGAACAGGGTGTCGTCGATCAGGTGAGAATTGAGAAACTAGCCAGTCACTTGTTCGCAATTTGGCATTATAGGATGGCTTGATATTCGAAATCGGTGAGAATGGTATAAAGCCATCGCTGCTTCCTGCCGATATGACATATAGACCTGGTTTCGAATTACCGATTAATCACAGTCCAAAGTTTACCGCAAACACTTCAGTCCCCTTTCGTCATTGAGAGCCATCTATAAAACTCAGTAAGACATGCATCTCTCTGTGCCAACCATCATTGGGGCTGCCTCCGTCGTTCAGGCTTTCCCCCACTTCGCCTACCCGAACACTCGCTTTGCTCTGCCGCCCAGCAAGGGACTGAAGGGGCTGAAAACGGGAAACGAATCATGGGGTACTTTGAAGCCAAATCACTTCATCTGGAGTCCACCGGGTCCTAATGATCGTGAGTCTCGTGATATGTCCCACGACTTTGAGGCCACAGCTGACCAGATGGAACATAGAACGAGCCCCGTGCCCGGTCATGAACACCCTTTCCAACCATGGCTTTGTTCCCCATGACGGCCGGAACATCACCAAGGACATCCTCATCAAGGCCCTCAACGATGCGCTGAACGTGCCCGAAGCGCCCGCCCTCAACATCTTCAACAATGCCCTCGTCGTCAATCCTATCCCCAATGCAACTGTAAGCTGTTACTGCTTCGCTTATCACCAAAGCTTCATGCCACTAGCCAAAAGCGCTTCGGGCTAATCTCATCATGGATAGTTCTTCGACTTGCAAATGCTACATGCCCATAACGTCATCGAGCACGATGGTAGTCTTTCTCGCAAAGATGCCATCTTCGACCCCACCAACGCTTTCGACGTAGGAACTTTCGACAACTTTGTGAGCTACTTTGGAGACGAGGAGGCGATTAATATCACGATGATCGCGAACGCCCGAGCTCGGCATGCTTTCGATATGAGTCTCATCAATCCGACTTTCTCGATCACCGATGCCCAGATCCCAGTCATTGTTGGCGAGAACGCATTCTTGCTGGCAATCTTTGGAGACCCGGACGTTGCTGTTGCTAACAGGACGTTTCTGGAGTACTTCTTCCGTATGTTTGATTAAGGCGGATTCTCTTCATCAAGGCAATAAAAGCTGATACCATCTAGGCAATGAGAGATTTCCCGTCGAGCTTGGCTGGTCCCCCAACGAAACACCTATCGACGCGCAACTCGGTCCCATCGTGCAGGATATCATCGCCCAAAGCCCTGCGGACGTGCCCCTGACATTTACGCCACAGAACGCAAGCCTGGAAAAGGCCAAATAGAGTATTCAGGCCGAAAGGCTTGGGCAAAAAAAAAAAAAAAAAAGAAAATGTACATTAGTTTGGCGATTGTTCGAAACCAAGCACGGCTCTTGGGTGGTTAATGTAACCGTTAACGTGCATCCCGTCGGTACAAGTGGATCATGGGAATCGAAAATTCTTCGCTGGTTCCGCTTTTTTCGATTAGGTAGAGCAGATTTTTCTTGAGAAGAACACAAGCCGTTAAAGTTGATGATGAGAACCGGATTCCAGTGTGTGCGTATCGTATCGCAATATTACTGAGATCCACGGGCAACTCTCATATACACGCTGGATCTGATCCACGATTTCGGACAGGTAGTCGTTACTTTCCTGTGCCACATTCACAGGGTCTTGAAGAGTCCCGGAAGCAGTTAGCAACCAAGATTGTATGCCGTCGATATAAATAGCTCCCACAACCGGAGATCCTCTTATTGACACAAGGATATCTTCATCTGTTGTCTAATCCAAAGAGGAAGGCCATGACGAGAACGGAGCCTGATTGGTGATTGTTCCCATTTATGGCTCCACTTCCCCAGACAACCCTTTGCGGGATCTAAGGCGGAATAAATGATAGATGTTATCCGCGATGGACCCAATTCTCCGCAGGCAAGAAGCTATCCTGGAGCTCTGAACTCGGATTCGTGGAGTTACTGAATCCCCTCAACTCCTACTTAAGCGTCCGGCAGAGAAGTTGGGGCGTAAATTCTTAAAGATGGCCTTCTACTGCCCAGTCAGTGCCTATATAATCTCGCCAAGGCTCGGACTTACACACTCCGATACCGGCGCACTTGCGAGAAGGGATTTTCACTTGACTCCATTGAAATTTAATAAAGGAATGTGTCATTCGAAAGAAGCGACCCCGCGAGGTGGGGAGAATTTTCATCTCTCCGGAAAAATGCTCGGCAGCTTGCAAGATGATCTGGGGAATTTTCATCAAGTATAATAATATGCTCATTCTGCCGTTCCCTTCCTAGCCTCTTCCAATCGTTGACCCCGTTCCCGCCGATTCGACCCATCTTTTGAGAGTGAGTGCTTGCGTACAGGCACCGCCATGTCGGACACAAGAGAAATCAAGGATAGCTCGCTGGGTGAGGCGCCGTCGAACACAGGCAAGGTTGTTGCCGCGGACAACGCGATTGCCCACGATGCCGTCTTTGGTGAGATTACGGAAGATGGCCCCAACTACCGCAGTGTTTGTAACTCCTTTTCGGTGATTTAAAAGTTATAGGAATTGACTGGCATTAGGTCGGATGGCTGGGTACTTCCGTCTTAATGATGAAAACTCAGATGGGTCTCGGCGTTCTATCCATCCCCTCTATCCTCGACACCATGGGGATAATTCCAGGAGTCATTCTTGTCTGCGTAATTAGCGGCATCACTACCTGGTCCGACTTCATTGTCGGTACTTTCAAGCTCCGCCATCCCGAAGTCTACGGCGTTGATGATGCAGGAGAGTTGATGTTTGGCTGGATTGGCCGTGAAATTTTCGGTGCCGGCTTTTGCCTCTGTGAGTGCTCTGTAACAGGCGATCAGTATCAACATCAATTCACTAATCTTTACTTCCATAGTCTTTACCTTCACCTCAGGCTCCGCTATGCTGAGTATCTCTATCGCTTTGAATGCTCTTTCTATGCACGCGACCTGTACCGCCGTCTTTGTCGCAGTTGCAGCGATTATTGGATTCGGCTTTTCTAGCATACGGACGCTCGGACGAATCAGTTGGCTGGCATGGGTTGGTGTTACGAGTATCATCGTTGCCGGTAAGTCTAGGCTCTTAGCCCCTACCTAAACCTGCAGCATCTAAAAGCTTCACTAGTTCTCACTGTGACCATTGCTGTTGGCCTACAGGATAGGCCTGCCGCAGCACCAAAAGATCTCCCTTGGAAGTCGGATTTCAAGCTCGTAGGCTCGCCCACTTTCACAGAGGCCATCGCTGCCATCTCTGCACTCGTTTTCTCGTACGCAGGCACGCCAGCGTTCTTCTCCATTGTAGCTGAGATGCGCGAGCCCAAGCATTATACCCGAGCTCTCATTCTCTGCCAATCTGTTGTCACGCTCGTCTACGTGGCTGTAGGTGCCGTTGTCTACTACTACTGTGGATCATACGTTTCTTCGCCCGCTCTCGGCTCTGCTGGGCCCAGCGTCAAAAAAGTCGCTTATGGACTCGGTCTTCCTGGTCTTATTGTCTCGGCCGCTGTCTTGCTCCATGTGAGTGTCTTGATTTCACAGAAGCTTGAATCTACGCTAACCACATTGTAGTTACCGAGCAAGCACGTATTCGTTCGAATTCTGAGAGGATCAAGGCACCTGACAGCTAACACCTTTACCCACTGGGCGACCTGGATTGGCTGTACCTTCACTGTGGCTTTGGTGGCCTATTTGGTTGCTAGCGGTATTCCCGTATTCAACAGCCTCATCTCTCTCATCGGTGCGCTTCTCGGCACACTGATCTGCTTCCAGCCGATGGGCTGCATGTGGTTCTACGACAACTGGACGAAAGGAAAACAGAACCCTACCATAAGATGGTACGCTATGTGTGTTTGGGCTGCTTTTGTTGTGGTTTCGGGAACGTTCTTGATGGTCGCTGGGACTTACAGTTCCATCATGGGAATTATCGATGACTACAACGGCCCAAACCGGTCCTCTGCTTGGTCATGCGCAGACAACTCGAACTCTGTATGATTTTATGGGTAAAGAATCCGAGCAATAATTAGCGGCATGTTATACCACCAGAAGAAACAGGTTGCATTTGATTCTACATATGTGTACTTTCACTGAAACTGCTCCACGGCGTTGAAGTGAGCTATGTGTTCTGCATAATCTCTTTATCTCGACTTCGGAAGTTAGTAGAAGAGAGATAGAGCCCCCGAGACCCACCAGTCGGCTTGGAATACCCCGGCCAGACGATGGAGCCTTCCGATCTCCGATCTCTGTTACTATCTATTTCTCCACTTCTCGGGAAGACTTTCTAGTTTGGATTTCCACGTTAGGGCAATAGTTACTGAGATTAATGTACCTGGTTGTCCAGAGTAGCTTCTGCTCTTGCGGGCTCAAGCGGGATAGACCACGGTAAATACCAAAGTCTACTTATGTATTTACAAGAGTAGGCAGGGTAAGGTGCATGCAAGGTAAAATTACAAAGTATCAAGCTTTTAGATAATCACAGAGATGAGGAGTTTAGGAACATGATCATGCGCTCACTCTAAACAGCAATCTTCTGCGTTAGGGACCAAACGGGTTGATGTAGTCTGGTGACCTGAGGCGGAAGCAGGCCTCGTGCTTGCTTAACATTTAAAGTCTCAGAGCATCGGCGTTGCAGGGCAGAAGAGATTCCGAAACCGTGGTGGCATCTGAGTTTTGTCAATCTTGGTACCTGGCATTGATAATGTCGTCGCATCGCGGAACGCGGGACCTGTCGGCCCCCGGGGAATGACTGTGAGTGCGGTGCAGTTCTCGCACGGTTGGAATCTATCCCGCCCTGAGATCGGGCAATCACACCTCCGAGTTGTCAGTTTTCTGAAAGTAGAAAGGTATTCGAACTGTCTCGAAATGATACTTTCCATCTAAGCGTGAGTTGTAAATGAGTATTTATGATGCCTCAGTAAGGCTGGGGGCATAGAAGGCAGAAACATGGGGATCTCAATATGATTCGCTCACGCGCCAGACACAGAACCAGAATGGCATGTCGCCCGTAGGGAGAGTGGGATGCCGTAATGGCTCGGCACACAAAGCCAGCTGACAGGATACGAGATCTGATGTGCAGGGCTAGAATCCTGGACACTTACTACATGTAGCTTTGGTGGCCCCCGAGCTCTCTATCAAGCCAAAGATCCAATGACTGCGAATCAAGCCAACCACCAAGATAAAGGACCGAATACATCGGCAATCCTTATCTACTGATAGACATGTCTATGAACTTATCCTCTGTATATGGTCTTCAATAGTAGTCTTCATAAATTAAGAGCAGTTGAAAGATCTGAATTCTGCCGGAAATGTAGCCTGTATTAATTAATTTGAGGTGTGTTTTGAGGTGACAAGATTCACTGTCCGCACTAAATTATGCAGCAGAACCCTGATGTTGGTCATGTAGTCGAAACTGCGGTGTAGTTCTCCCAGCTCTATAAATCACATGTATCCAAGAAACTAACATATGCCAAGTGAGTCTCCGGAAGCTTAGCTGCAACGCATGTACGCAGCAATCATCAGTAAACTTTTTAAGCCATTCTTTTAGTATCTATGTGAGCTGAAAAGGGGGGAAAAGTCACTATCGACTTGAAGTGTCTTATCTCTCTACCCGACAGAGACCTCGCTGACTGAAAGACTGTCGGCACATTAGTCGGATTGTGGGGTCAACAAAGCGTCCCGCGCCGCGCCGCACAGGGGTGGGATGCCGTGACGGGACTAGGCACTCCGAGACGCGAAGCGCCATTGAGCGTTATCGTGGTGGGTTTGCCCTGCCCGCGCGGGGGCCTCGGGGGCCGGGATGGTGCCGATCGCCCGTATAATATTCGCTCCAAGGACGGTCCTGAAGCCATCAGTTCCGAGCCTAGCCCTTCTGTGAGAGTTCTGTCAAACGAATGGTCTCTGCTTCCTCTGGCAGAACATGTCTTTATTCAGTTAGGTTACGAGCACCAACCCCTGGCTTATCCCAGCCCTCAGGACCCTCACTCGACCACCCCTTATTCCCGCCCTCTGCCCAACAGTCATCGACCGACTTCAAAACACTCCTTTTTCCCCCGTTGTACGACCTCTGTGACGTGCACGGGCCACAATCTGACCACCTTTGGAACGTCTCTGTGTGGACAAGTCAGACTAGGGCAACCTGGTGATCCCCGAAACTCTCGATCAGATTTGGGTTGGTTTGTACCAGTAAGAGCTACTCGCAAAGTTCATCTGGCAAACATACAACAATTCCAAGCCCGAAAAAACACGGCAAAAGTCGATGAGCGCTCTCCAGAGTTCCTCCGTGTCATGACGGCAATGGACCAAGATCCCGACCATGAGCCGGCGATCCGGAGTCTTGGCGGCCTGGATGTCATCGATTCCAATGGGGACCTCTACCTCTTTGTAGGAGAAGACGTTGAAGAAAAGCCCAAAAACTACTTTGTGTGCTCCAAAGCGCTCGCGAGAACCTCAACTGTCTTTCGAAAAATGCTCTATGGCGGCTTCGCTGAGTCGCGACCACATCATATGGATGGTGCCCCGCGAGATTGGACTGTGGAACTCCCCGATGACCGGCAAGAGGCTTTGGAAATGCTACTCAATATCTCGCATGGGCGTTTTGAGAACGTTCCCGAACAACTGGAACTCACACGTCTCTATCAGTTTCTTGTGGTCACTGAGAAATATGACGCGACTAGCATCACGCGGCCATGGGCCCGCGGATGGATGGAGGCAGTCAAGACGAGTATGCAGAATCCGCTGCTTCTGGGTGTTGCCTATGAACTCGGAGACGCCCAAATGTTCAATAACATGGCGATGAAGATTGCTACTGAGTGTTTAGTTGACGACGATGGAGACTTGGTGTTCGGTTATAGCGGAGCGAACCGTGAAACTTACTCATACAAGCTTTGCCACATCGAATATCTTTTTCCATCTGGCTTTGTCGGTACGTATTCCGATAAGTTCCTGGTTTTGAGAGACTCCGTAATGAAAACGACTAACTCATGGCCCAGATGATGCTACAACAATACGCAAGACTCTCCTCACCACTATGCTGGAACCCTACGCCAGCCTCTACATGACGCTCAAACACGGAGACCGATGCATGTCATCGCCCCAAGATCCCACAAGTGGCAAACGGTGTGACAGCATTCTACTAGGGTCTCTCATCCGGTCCTTCGCAGCGCAGACAATCGATCTCACAGCCCCGGATCCCGTCGCAGCATACCGCGGGAGCGCCTCGGCGCTTCAGTCAGTTCTGCTCAAGCTCGAGCTGTTCACGGTTCACTCGGGCTTCTCGCATCCGTCGTCTACATCATTCAGCTTCGGGCAGACGACACATCCACGGTTCGGCTTCACCTTGAGCGCTTGCGAGCATGTCTTGCAGTCCGGGCTGCGGGAGGGTGTGGAAAGGTCGTTGATGCTCAGGGGGGATATGAGCTTTGTCCAGCCAAAGCACAAGGAATATTTGCAAAAGCAGGCACAAATGACGGGTCTTTCTAAGCAGCATTAATAATATTTGTGACCAACCCACCTTCAGCATGAGCTGTTTTGGGAGTCTTGTGGCGGCCCCTCGCTTGCCTGGTAGACCAAATTCTCTTCGGCATGCGTGATGACTTTTGTCCCTTTCTCAACTCAGCAGTTCACGCTCCAGGCGTATGTTCCCATTTCTCTTAACATATTATAAACACTGCACGCTATGCTCCGGGACCATCATGGATTTGCGGGCTCGTGTCTTCGCTCTCCTGGCTTCTGCCCATATCACGCGTCCGTTTCAACGATAAATCGGAATGTAAGGTCTCTGACCTCTTGCTCCCTCTCCACTCTCAGTTCAAGCACACACAGGACCACCTCGTAGTTGTCAGTCTCAAATAACTGCAGTGCATCCTCCTGAGCTTTGTTCGTAATAAGGAACGCGTGCCCATCTACGCAGCCCTTCTCGTAGGCCGACGCATCCACCAAAGCCTTGTACTTTCCGCCCCAAGTTGCGAGACGGCCACCGCGAACCTTTGCAGCTCGATAAACTGGCTCAATACCGAGAAGATTGTTCAGAACAGTAGGGTCCGCAAGGGTACCGTAGAAGAAGTACCAGACTGGGTACTGGTCCTGAGTCGGGAGTAGTCGTTGATCTGATTCGATCTGGGACTCAGAGTTTGGGCGGTGATGGGTCAAGGTGGCCTCGGATCCAAGGGTGGGATGCATCGATGTCGCGGAGAGTTCTTGTCCGCCTTTGCGCAGCGGATAAATGTGGGTTGAAAGGTTGACTCGATGTCGGACAGGTGACTGAGGAGGATTTTCTTGGTTGCTTCGTCAACCTTGCAAAAAGAGGCGGCAGAGCCGTCGTCGCCTGTGCCGCTGAAACTCAAGGGCAGCATGGAAGAAGCCCCGCAGATCATTTGAACGTCCTTGGGGCTGGAGAAAGGACCCGCTAGCTTAAGGAGTTAGATGCTAGACTTCTTCTTCCTCTTGGTCTGAGTGCTTTGCTCGACGTGCGATGTCTGGGTTTGCGAAAGGCTGCAAGAATACTCGTAAGACTCCTTGTCGTAGCCCTGAGATTCCTTCTCTGCGCGAACCATGTCCCAGTGGAGTTCGGAGACATGGACTCGTGCAAAGTTGGATCGATGATCCTGGATCTTCTATGCGGCACCAGAGTATGTGTAGCCGAAGAGAGACTGCCACCTCTTGATGTCGTCGTAGTCCGGTTCAGTGTTGTCCTATTGTGTCATAGCCATGGACTCAAGCTCGTGAAGAAGGTCCATGTTATCTGCTCGGTTAGTGCCATTTCTCAAGACGGAGTGACTCTGCTGATAAAGGAGTGTAGTGAGGCTTCAGATCAGCGGGACTGTAGGATGCTTGGTGAAGGTTTGCAGCTCCGCATGTGTGAGAGTTGGCGAGGATGGCTATTTGATGTATAGAGCTTTTTTTCGAGTGCTTCGGAAATACCTCTGTTATGTGGGTAGACAGAAAGGTTGATAATGGGCTGCGTAACTTACATGGCTTACACCATGTACCATGATGGGCAAACCAACACTAGTAGAACCAGTACCCTCTCAACCCTAACCTCTGCCAAGTTTTTACATGTCATTACTAACTTTCTTGAAGAGAAATGACAAAGTCGGTTCGGATATCGTACATAGTACTTACTGAGGTAATTACTCAAGGTAGATATCGTAACTATCGGGACTCCGGTAATGTCGACGTTTTTGATAAGACTGTTTTTGTCTAGCATAGGCATCTGACTGCGATTCGATGATCATGCTTTTTATTCGGTGGCATGATTGCACAACGGATGACATAAAACAATCCTCCATCGATGGCATCGGTCATCTGCCCGTCAATCAAGCTCATCACTACCATGATAGTTTCCAGCAAATGGTCAAGCGCCGCATTGTCCTGCTGACCACCATTTTCTTTCTTGAACTTTACAACTCAACCCCCCTCTCGTTACCCAGTGCACTATGCCTGTGGAATGAAATAAGCGCACCCTGGCATGGAGCAAGCTTGACACGCAGTGCTGTGTGCTTCGACATAAAATCGGTGCCATGCTCGGTTCTCCGGAGGTGTCGAGCATTGTTGATCCATTAATGAAATCAAGAGAGAAGACGCAGGACAACATGAATAAACGCGCTCCTGTTCCGCTTTTCTGAATTAAATCAGTGGCAGATTGTAACCATTTACGATCGATCCGGCACCGTTTCCCTGGAAATCATTAGCAAGCAGAGCAGCTAAGCCCCCAGTTACTCTCAATACGAGCCTCCAGCCATAACAGTTCTAGAAAAGAAGAAATCATAGAAGGATGATCACTGGGAGTTGGAAACAAACCCCCCTGGATCCCTCGTTTTGATTGACGTTAAATGCCTCTCACTACAAGCCCGTAGGTAACGCGCTATCGCTCTGCATGGCAAAAGTTGGTTTGACAAAAGCAAATTCCAGTTAGGCCGGTAACCCACCACCTCGTAACTCCAATTTCCTCTGGCGGGTGGCCTCCCGAGGCTCACTTATACGAGGCCCGATTCGGCTGGGGAAGCAAGGAGGTCTGAGTGCCAAGAGAAAATCGCTCATACACAAAAGGCCAACACAGGCACGGTCGGATTCGGTGGTGATGGACAACCATTACGTTAAAATTACCTACAAGCTACTGCTTCCCCATGGGAAGCGGGCGCAAAAAGACCCAGATAATCTCAACGTTGTTCCAATCGTCCGCCAAGCCTACGGAATGCACTCGCATCCGAAGGACCTGATCTGGCAACCCGGATATGAATGCACGCAGCAACAGGAAGTTCTTAATCCCTCAACCGAAACATCACATGGCTTTCGAGTCGGTGAGATTGCTTCTGTGCAATGTTGACACGAAACACGGTGCAATCAGTAATACTCATGGATCGTTTGTAGGACTGAAAAACCGCAGGATTTGTAGGACTTAAAAACCGCAGGACAGCAGGATTTTTGTTTGTCTCTGCTTGGATTCTGCTCATCCTGATATCCTCCCGCCGTTCAACTTCCTCGTCAATATATTCCTCATGACATCATCCGTATGAGCCCGACAAGCATTCCAGATGCCGCTGTCACAGATGCCTCAACCACCTGGGTGCCCGAGAAGCAGCCAGGTGCTGTCGCAGCAGCACTCTGTGTCGCTTTCGCACTCCTAGTTGGCCTCGTACTCTACCTCTTCGGATGGAAGAAGATCAGGAAGTTGAGGCATCCTCCGCCGCCTCCGCCGCCTCCTTCTCTGCATCTTACAACAGCGGGCAATCACCGCAGTCGACATGATTCCCCTGATGCCTCGACTTTGAGCCCCTATAGCTTGCCCCGGCTACCGAGAAAAGCCCGTATTGCAAAGCTGACTCGGGGAAAGCTCGAGTCGTTGGCAAAGGTCGCTGAGGCCAAGACGTGTCCTGTTTGCCTGGATGACTTTGTCGCTGGAAGTGTTGTCGGCCAGTTGCCGTGCGGCCATGTCTTCTGTTCGGCCTGCATCGAGCTTTGGCTCCTCAAGCACTCTTACACATGTCCCTTGTGGTACGTCTCCCTACCTGACACAATACAGCATACGCGACTACTAACCTATTCTATTTGACTATGGTTCAGCCGCTTCAATCTTGAAGCAGGCGAAGTGCACGCCAAACCACGAGAAAGGGGCGTGCAGTGATGGATCACGAGGCCACATCCAAGGGATGCTAATCCATCTAAGCATGCGACATATATCGGTAATATGGCAAATTACTCCTTTTGAAGCCTCGCAACTACTGTGGCTGTATTTCATGCTATAACTGTTGGACTCGGCATCTCATCATTCTCATATGATGCTACGAGGGGCGCCAGGTGCCGATAGGTACTGCATGAGAACGTTTCATGCGACAGTCCTGGAGGCATACTGTCATCGGAGTATCGTCAGTGTTTGCACCTTTACGCAAGTGGGGGATGGAGGTATAACAGTCGACGTAGCTGCAGTCTTTCCTGAAAGCTTTCAATCTAAGCATGACTGCCTGACTTGGTCTGTCAACGTGCCAATCGTGAATGTGGCAGATTTTGAGTACCCAAAGCATGCTCCAAAAAATACACAATCTTGAGCCACATGCTGACGCCCCCCAATGGCCAGCAATGAGACCTTCTGTCCTGAGTGGCGCAGCGCTCCAAGGATCACAAAACGCCCCATGATCACTCTCCTTTTGTCAACAGCTTGAAGCCCCAAAGCAGTATCAATCATTTGAAATACGGAGCATCAGTTTTCAATGAAGTATTGGAATGTAGTTGTCTACAGAGTTTGTAGATGACAAAATTGTTAGTATGTACTTGGGAGCGAGAGTGTCTTGGTCTGTCATCGGCTGATTACCAAATGACCCTCGTGACCAAGCCTGTCCATGTGATGATAACTAAACCAGCTGCTTTTCGTTGTGCTACATCAGTCCAGAAGTGATCGATTTGTCACACGTGAAGCCCCCGAAACAGGACTTATCTTGATCGACAGGCGCAATCCATGTCATATGTGAGACTCTTTCCCGACGCTGTGCCACTTTCAACGAGCTGCATCTAGGTACTGTGGCCCGTCACCTGTTGCTCATTATCCCTGGCATGTTTTATGTTTGGAAAATCGATCTCCAGGGGTTCCGGGTGATTGGTTCACCGGGCGACTTGTATCGAGGATTTAAGGATAGAATGCTGCCTTCTTTCTTTGCGACCCATTCCAGAACAGGTGACGGCAACATCCAATAGCCGCACGAAACAACCTGAATGAACATCACGACAGTTTGGGATTCAAGAATCTACCTCAACTCCAGCTAGATCCACTCACAACTCTTGCTCGGCCTGGCCTATCCTTCCAGCTATTTTTCGTCGACTTGAACGCCTCACCAACTAACAGTTGAGGGAGCCACATGTACGCTTAGATTCATCCCGATGTTGGCATCGTACATTACTTACCCTGACGGTTTCAAGGTTGAGTATCGAAACTGAAGTAGCCAGCCCACTCTTTCGCACGATGGACCACGAGAGCATGTCTGTGATCGTGCCATCACTAGATACCAGAGAAACAATGGACAGCGAGGCCACACTGGTTGCCGTCTCTGAGAGAGTACAGCCAGCCGCGAGAAATGAGCATTATCATCATCATCAATTTAGTTCCAACAGACACACCATTGGGCTGTTCAACTTTGCAAGAATTATGCTCAGGTTGACACTGCTCTGGGTGAATCTACTGCTTCTCCCCCTTTGCGGCTGGAACGCTGCAAGCTCAACGCTTTTTCTTGTCATACGAGGAGTCCCCCTGGGTCGACAAGTGGAAGCATTTCTTCGTTTATCTTATAATATGGCCAAAATGGAATTCAGTACCGCCGGACTAAACAGGTGATGTTGTTTTGGGTGGCAATTCTTGTACAAGTTCAATGGCGAAATGTTGGAACTCGGTCACAATGATTCAGACATTCACATTTAAGCGACCGGACACACTGGTCGCTAGGCGGCACACGGCACCCTGATTACATGCAATATCTTGAGGTGAAGTTTGCCAGAACGAAAAAGAATATATACACGAAAAGTTGCGAATAGATACATGTAGTTCGTTGCTTGTAGTTACAGTGTTGGGCAACGTCTGAGTGCCCGAAGAATTATACTAAGAAGAATGTCCCGAGCGATGGGAATAGACGTCTCAAATACTTCACTGAAGGTATTCGCCGACAAGCGCCAAGTCGATAATGGCTGCCAGCCCATATAAGGCAGCATCGTTCGTAGAAATCCACGATGCCTCATCGATAGGCGCCAACACATCACTGCCGTTAAAGTGCATAGTACTCCAAGGAGCAGTTTGTTTCAACCCATCAGTGTTGAAGAACTCATTCCAAGCACGAGCCGCGAGAGTCGCGTTGTTCGTGCGGTGGGCAGCGTACGCAGTAAGACGAGAGTGTCCCTGCTTGAGACTCGTGTTACCAAATCCCTTGCCGTACCGCGCCGTCTGCTCGGCGGCGCTGGCGCTGTAGTAGTAGCTATAGTCGTACCACGCCTGTTCGAAGCCTGCGGGAACATCATCGCCGGCATGCTCAATGAACTCGGCAACGACCTCCATGAGGCCGAAGACGGCAGACAAATGGGACACGGCGACGGTGCCATTGTTGTTGGGATCCGCGGGCGGGGGTCCGAGAGTGCCGTCGGCGAGGTTGTAGAGGCCAGAACCTGTGACGAAGCCATTCTTGAGCTTGGCGATGCTGGCAGCGGTGTTGGTGAGCTTCGTGCGAGCCTCTTCCCAGCGGGAGCCACGACGCTCCCACTCAAGAAGCCAGGAGGCGGCGAGGGAGGACCAGTCCGTGCCAAGACCAACAGCGACGGAGGAGTTGGGCGTTGGGACCCAGCCGTCGGTGCGGACCTTGCGGTTGGGGTCGAGGACACCGTAGGTCTTGTCCGTGTCGAGGATTTCCTCGATCAGCTCGCCGGTGCGCTCGTCGCCGCCCGTGACGAAGAAGAAGACCTTGCGGTACTGCGGCGTCGAGATACGTGCCTGCTTGGCGCTATCGCCCCAGTGCTGGAC